GTTTAGCAATTAACAATTGAATATACAGGGACACACCTTAATATAATGTAAGTGAAGGTCACCTCTGCATCCAGAAATGTTGAAAGGACAATTTTCAGCTTCATATGAAAACAGACACACACCTAAAAAAAATAACAATGACAACAACAACAACAACAAAAAATCCAAAACAGGATAGCTAAAACAATCCTGAAAAATAAAAAGTGTGGGAGGGATATCACTATCCCCAATTTCAAGTTGTACTACAAAGCTATGATAATAAAAACAGCATGGTGTTGACATAAAAACAGACATGTTGATCAATAAAATGAAATTGAAGAGCCATTCATAAATTTATATACTTCTGAATACCTGATTTGTGATTTAAAAAAGTCCAGAAATACATACTGGGGAAAAAAAAAAAAAAAGACACCATCTTCAACAAATGGTGCTAATCCAACTGAGTGTCCGGGCTGAATGTAGAAGAATCAAAATAGATCTGTACTTACCACCATTCACAAAACTCAACTCCAAATGGATTAAAGACCCTCAACTTAAATCCAGATACACTGAACCTGACAGATGAGAAAGTGAGGAATAGCCTTGAAGTCATTGGCATGGGAAAAGACTTTACAAGCAGAACACAGGTAGCACAGGCTAACAATCAGTAAAAGGTACCGCACAAAACTAAGAATCTCTTTCAGAGGGAAGGACACTGTCATTTGGACAAAGCAACAGTATACAGAATGGGAAAACATCCGATATTTATATATATATATATATATAGAGAGAGAGAGAGAGAGAGAGAGCACTCAAAAAACTAGCTATCAAAAAACCCAGTTAAAAAATAAGGTACAGAGCTAAACAGAGGATTTTCAAATGAGGAAATGCAAAAGACTGAGAAACACTTAAAGAAATGTTCAACATCCTTAGCCATCAGGGAAATACAAATCAAAACTATCTTGAGATTTCATCTTACATCCTTCAAAGTAGCTAATGGGTCAATGCCAGCTCATTCTGTGAGGATGTGGAATACGGGAAACATTCATCCATTGTTATAGGAGTGCAAACTTGTAGAGCCACTATGGAAATCAGTGTGGGAGTTCAAGAGAATCAGAATCAATCTACTCCAAAATCCAGCTATACCCTTTGTCTTTTAATGGGGACTTCAAAAGATCCTTCATCTTACCACAGAGACATCTGCTCAACTATGTTCATTGCTGCTCTGTTCACAATAGCCAGAAATCCTCTGCATAATTTGACTGTAGTTCTCTATATCTGTTTCCTCTGCTTCAAGAGGAAGCTTCTCTGATGATGGTTGAACAAGGCACTAATGTATGAGTACAGCAGAATGTCGCTGGGGTCATTTTATCATTACATTTTCCTTTCTTTTTCTTAGAACAGTATTATTTTTTGGTTTTACCTACGGTCCCTGGATTATTTAATTTCTGGTTCTTGGTCACCCAAGCAGTATGGGTTCCATCATGGGCCTTAAGTCAAATCAGATATTGGTTACTCCAATAAACATTGTGCTACCATTGCACCATCATATTTTGCAACTAGGACACCATGGTGGATCAAAGTGTTTGTGATAGATATATGTATGTATGTATGTATGTATGCTCACACACACATAACCTTGGAAGCCTATAGGCTTTCAAGTTACTGTTTTTATGGTACTTCTGACTGTATGGATGAGTCGGTCTCTGATTTTTGTATGTTCTCTTGAGCTCTTTTCCTCTCTCTCTTGTTGTAGGTGATTATTAATATTTACTACTGGTTTATTTTCTGGTAATGCTGCTGTTAATTCTCAGCAGCTGTATAACCAAATCACCACACAGAGACCGGGTTTTTAGTTAACCTAGAACACAATGCTGGGCAATATTTACTGCCTCCTAAACCCCCAAGCCCTCAGTTTCCTAACATTTAGATTTCCCACATTATACTTGCTTTTTGTGAAATATTAGGTTCATGCTCCACATCCTCCAAGCTCTCTCCTCCCGCTCTGCTCTCCTTATTCTCCTCTTGCCCCTTCTCCTCCCAGTCACCTCCTGCTCTCTAGCTCCTCCCCTCTTTCCTGTCCTCTGGCTCCTCCCATTGCACAACATTGTACCTAGTTACTTTATTTTGTCCTGTTTACACAAGAGGTGAGACAGGATGCTTATAGTGAGTATCACAAAGCAATATCCGGATTGAAACCAGAGAGTGGGGGTGGGGAAATCAGCATTTGAATTAACAAGGGTAAGGCGTATACATTTTAAAAGAACATTATACCAACACTCTCTCTTGTCCTGTCCAACCCCAATATATTAGTTTTTGTTTTATTTTACTTTATTCTATCTTATTTTATCATTATCCCTTAGACACCTGTTTGTTTTCTAATGAGACAGAAAGAGAGTGGATCCAGATGGGAAGCGCGATGGAGAGGAACTGGCAAAGGTAGAAGGAGGGGAAACTCTAATCAGAATAAGTTATGTGAGAAAAAAAAAAAATGTATCTTCCATAAAAGAAAAAAAATGGAGTTAGGTTTGAGGGATCATGACTAATTGCAGCACTCAAAAGAGGCTCACCAAGAGTTTGAGACATGCCTGGGCTACAGAGTGAGAACCTGTCCAAAAAGAAAGGAAGAAACAGTCTTGAAAGTGGATGTGGTGGTACCGTGTTTTTAATCCCAGCAATGAGGAGGCAGAGGCAGACTGGCCTCTGAACTTGAGGCCAGCCTGGTCTACATAGTGAGTTTGAGGACAGTCATTGAACCAACTATATTAAAGGGTCACAGCATTAGGAGGGTTGAGCGCCACTGCTCTAGGGACTGTAGTTCAGGGGCAGAGTGCTTAACCAGCACCCATGAGGTCCAAAGGTCTGATAGCAGGTTAAAAAAAAATCAGGGCTGGAGAGATGTCTCAGTACCACTCACTAGCTGCTCTTGCATTGAACTTGAGTTCAATCCCCCGCACTGACATGGTGGCTCACAACCATCTGTAACTCCAGCTCCAGGGCAGCCAACACTTTCTTCTGACTTCATGGCCATGTGGAACACATAAATATGTGCAGGACTTTAATCCAAACACTCAGGAGGCAGAGTTCCAGGACAGCCAGGAATACACAGAGAAACCCTGCCTCGAAAATCCAAAAATCAATCAATCAGTCCTGCTGTGACTGAGAATCTCAAACAAAACTGGTTCTTTCTCGTGTCCTTGTGGACTAGATGGCTACCGTAACAAGTGTTACCCTGTCAGGTGTTCTGCTGAAGTACAGTCATAAGACAGTAACTTTATAAACAGCCCAAATCCTGTACGTGACCAGAGTGAAAACAGTGAGTGTGCTTCTCTCCCCTGAGGAGCCCATCTCCACACTTAGCTATATCTTCCTTTTTCTCCTCACATTTAAGTCTACGTTAAAACACCTGTCACAGACTTTCCAACTTTTCTTCGTAAACTAGCTAGTCCAGCCATGAATCCTGATTTGCTCTGACTTAAGGCCAAGATCAGCCAATCCCAAGTCACTCTGGAACTGCTCCTCTCCCACCCCCTTGTTAAGCCTTGTGACTCTTGGGTATTCCTTGGCTCCTGATTGCCAGGATACCTCTTGGAACAGAGCTCTAATATTTTTGCTGGGGAAACATCCCCCTGCCAGAGCAGAACTGCTTCACTAGCATTTGGTAAGCCCGGCTGGCAGCTGCAGCAGAGCTGTAAACACTTCTGTGGGGGAAGCCTTTCCTTTCAGAATCTCAACACTTACACTGTGTTACAGGCTGCCCTCCAAGTCTCCATTTTCCTGCCTCAGCCTCCCAGCTCCCAGCATTAGGCTAACACAGGCATGTAACACCAACCGGCAAGGCTTGCTTTAGGAACCAGTGACACAAAGTGCACTGCAACAGATCTCCACTGAGAAGTGTTTTATTCTACCACGGTCCTTAGATCCTTTGTTATGCCCAGATCTTAAGGTCCCCAAAGACCACCAGGAGCTGGACCACATATGCAAGAGTAAAGAGCTTTATTCGGGTGTAAGCCTGGTCTCTCCACACCAACACAGTGAATCAGCGAGGAGAGCCCGAGGGATCTATCTATAGACCTCAGGAATGTTGGTATTCTCTGTGCTATGAAATGTCCTACTACAAGTCTGTGGGCTGCCCAGCACAGATGCTCCACTCGGAGATAAGACTCCGTCCCCTTCTTGTTATCCTCAGGCTGTCCCGTGGTTGGGAATCTTATGACCTTGTTTCTGGAACTGGTGACCCATGGCCTAGTTACTGGTGACCTTGGGGTGGGGGTGGGGGCCACTAGTTCCTGGTGACCTTTGGGGGTGTCAGGCCTGGTTCTCTCACCTTCAAAATAAAAGTATTCCAGCCAGGATAGTTAAATGCTAAATTCGCTAAAATGCGACTATAACTTCAGATTCAGTCTACCCAGGAACAAAAACAATTTTTTTTTTCTGGCCTGAAAAAAACTAAACAGCGAATCTGAAAGAAAAAAAAAAATTCCAGGCTCACTGGAGAATCTTTTTCTCCTCAGAAACGGGCTAGACAGCGAAGGTAAACTTATGCTCGGTGAGGGCAGCCTTGAAACCAACAACTGTGGCCCGCAAGGGTCGAACTTAGTCACTGTCACCCGTGCTCCGCGCGCTCGGGGCGTCAACCGTTGTCGGCCGGGAGGAGTGGCGAGGCACTAATGGGCGCCCGCCCGCAGGGAAACAAACTCCACGTGCCCCGGCGGCGCTGCGCTGGTCACACCCTGTCTGCTCACACAGCCCAGCCCAGGGGCGCCGGCGTGGGATCCTCGGTTTCCGGGCGTCCCGGAAGTCGCTCGGTGACGCGCTTTCTGAACGCGCCAATCCGGCGCAGCGGTGGGCGGGCCCTCGGAGTTTGAAATCCGGCGCGGCCGTCCGCGTCGCGGAAGCGAAAGCCTCGGGTGAGCGTGGCTTGTTTTTGAGCGTCCGCGGTCGCGCGGGTCGCCCCTGCCCGGGCCTCGGAGGGGCGGAAGCACCGCGAGCCCTGGGGCTTCAGGGAGCCCGCGGCCCGGGGCGTCTCGGAGCCGGGCGGTCCCCGCGGCTTCGTGCTGCCGCCGCCCTCAGGTAGGCCGCCCCTTCCCCTCAGCCCCGCCGCCCCTTCGCCTTCGGCCTCGCGGGCCTCGCCGACGGCTGGCTTCCGCGGTGTGAGCGCGACCGCGCGCCAGCCTTGCTGCCGCGACGCCCCAGACGTTCGTCCCGAAGTCGCAAGTCCCCGGGAGGGGGATGTGCGCCGGGGCCCGACTCGTCCGTCACCTCCGGAGCCCGCATTCCGGGGGGGGGGGGGGGGGGGGGCGGGACTTGCGCTTTCTGCGGACTTAGGTCCGGGCGCGCCTCCGAAAGAGTGGAGAAATGCAAAGTCTCAGCCCGGCGCGCTGGCGCACGCCCTGAGTCGCCGCGCTCAGGGAGGCTGAGGCAGGTGGATCTCTGCGAGCTCGGGTCCATGCATTGTTACCTATGTGTTTATACTCGTAGGCGTATGGTTTCGGTTTTTGTTTTTGTTCTTTTAAATGTGGCTCTTTTGCCTTTTAATACGTACTGGAAAATTTAATGACGTTTTTGTTGAGTTACGCTGAAGTTGAGTTTTATAAATGAGTGGTCACTGGGGAAAGCGCGGGCTTCTAGGCAGCAAAGCGCTCCGCAGTTAGGAATGTCGCTGCAAGATATGTCCTTTTTGAGTATGTCCGATTTAGTCACACAAACAGTCCTTATGATAACATTTTAATATAAAAGTTGAACAGACATCTTGCCAAGTGCGGAGTGGTGTTGGGGCAGCAGTGCTACCGCAGGGTTCCACTGGGGACTCATCCGGTGATGATGCTTCCAGCAGTGTGAGGTCTGGCTCCACATACGCTGTGAAACCCCTCAACTGTGGTAGGCTAGGATGTTGAGAGCAAAAGGACACTTGACTTGGCGGGCTTGTGTCAGCCCAGTGACAGTACCTGAAGTTCAGTGGTCACTGAGGCCAGGGTCTCAAGATCACTTGCCAGTAGTTTTAGACAGCATTCCCAAAGTTCTGATATTTTTCATTTCGATGGGTGGTTGCTTTGTGCCTTCATAACGTGGGGTTGGTTCACTGTCATAGCAACATAGTCTTGGGGTTAGTTCGTTAGCACACTGTTTTTGCCATCATTATTTCAGGCTACACAAAATGGTTATTAAGCTATGTTCCTTACAGTCACCGTGACATGTGGGTTGATGATGATGATGATGATGATGATTATTGCAGTATAAGTAAACCTAGAGTCTTCTAGGATAGGCAGGCAGCAAGCATCTGCCTCTGGGCTGTAACCTTTTCTTTTTCAGCTTATTTGCAATTTTTATTTGTGAAGATTTCGTTAGACTGAGGAACTGAGGGGTAGGTCAACCTGACCATACCTTGCCGGCTTCCCCTGCGATTGTACAGTCTTCTCATTTTTATTTTTGAGAGGGTGTAACTTTATTGGTATTGCTAGTGGATATTACTAACTCCCACCACTGCCCACCTGAGGAATATACATTTACTGAGTGCTAGGGCTGTAGCTCAGTGACCTAGCTTACCTGAGGTCCTAGGTTCAACCTCCAGCAGTGCTAAAATAATGAATGGATAAAATATATCAATACCTAGCTGTTGAGCTAAAATTTGTGAAAAGATTACAATAGCTTTTCTGTAACAGACTTAGAAGATAACCATTTTTCAGAAAATACTTCTAGTGGCAGGGTGTGAAGACACATACCTTAGTCCCAGCAGTAGGAGACAGAGGCAGGTGGATCTTTGAATTCAAGCCTCCTCTACAAAGCAAGTTCCTGGGCAGCAAGGGCTACACAGAAACACTTTCTTAAAAAACAAAACAAACTCAACAACCCAAAACAAAATCTTTCTCTGCATTCTTCCTTATAATAAATTTATATATGACTTTTCTTTTTCGAGACATGGTTTGTCTCTGTTGCTTTGGCTGTCCTGGACTCAATTTGTAGGCAGTCCTTGAACTGAGAGAGATCCCCTTGCCTTTGCCTCCCCAAGTGCTGGGATTACAGGTTTGCGCCACCATGTCTGGCTTATATATGAATTTTAAGTTGCTTATTTTGAAAAAAAACAAAAACAAAACTTCATATCATTTGATCTAATTGCTTTAGTAATTATTTTTCTATTTTTTTTGAGACACGGTTTCATAGCCCAGGCTGCCCTTGAGTACTAGAATTACAGGTATGTGTCACCATACCCAGTATTGATTAATATTTTTCATGATAATGTCTTTTCCATTTAGATAATGTAAAAAGTTATTAGAATTGTTATGAATTCAGTAGTAAGAGATGCTGTAAATCCTGACTAGTAAGTTCCAGGCACCTAGGATTGAAATATTAATTTTCCAAATATTAATGTAATATGTTGTTCTAGGGTTTTTTTTTTTTTTATTTTTAGTTACGAAAAATAAGATTTACATGTAAGTAGCAAGCCAGGTGTTGCAGTACGTGGTTATGACCCCAGCACCCCAGTAGACTGATACCAGCCTGGACTATAAGGCAAGGCTGTGTCTCAGAAAGAAAAACACACGTTTTAAGGCCAATTTAAATGAATAATTTTCTTCAGACATTCTAAATAGCAATACATGTAAAGAATTATGCTAAATACAACCTCCTTCTTTATTTGAAGTTTTCAACTAACATCTTATAAATAAATATTCTGGAGCACAAAAGAGCCAGGCCATTTAAATAATCGAATGCATATTCATTGTAGTTGCTGCCTTAAAATCTTTAGGTGCATAAAGGGAAGTACATTTGTTAAACTTATTTTTTTATAGCCTAATATAATGCCTAATGCAGATATCATTCTCTTTTTATGCAAATACTAGATTGGAGCCTCGAAGACTTGGTTGAATAAATTTCACTGCAGCAGTAGAATGCTTATATAGCATACTCACGGGCCTGCATTGATCGCTAGCATCAGAACCAATATGGATCAATATGGACAGGAAACCTACTGGTTGGCTCTAAAACCCCTTAGAGGAACACATTTCCGTAGCTGTCAAGTAAATCTCAAAAACAAATATTTATAATTTATATATTTATATATATAATATATTTATAATAGGGATATTAACTATGTTAATATTGTTGCTTTGTGTGTGTGTGTGTGTGTGTGTGTGTGTGTGTGTGTGTGTGTGTGTAAGGAGACAGTTTTGAATGCCAAACTGCTCTTCTGTTGAAAAAAAAAGATGAAAATTATAATTTAATAAAAATATTAATCTTATTTGTGGGCTATATGTTATCTGATGTTGATTAACCAATTATGCCTTTTAATGGTATAATAATGTTATACAAATTGGTAAATTTTTAAGTTATCAAACAATGATAAAAGTTGATTTCATTACAGGTTTCTTTGGACTGCTGCTGAAGTTTTGTCTGGAAACTTGGGTTGATTGAATTTTCTATAAAAAGAACTTTGTTGCTACTCTTACCAAGATGATTGCAACACCTTTGAAACATTCGGGAATTCATTTGTCTTCTGGGACAGCTCAAAGAAGAAAAATACCACTAGATGCAGTCTTTATTGACAGTATCCCTTCAGGCAAACTTACTCCCATAAAAGATTTGGTGAAATATCAGAAGTCCTCTCTCAAATTGAATGGTCATAAAAAGAATCAGTTGTTAGAAATTACAACTTCTAACAATAAAAGTATATTACAGTCCACCGTACAATCAGGTGCTATCCTTTCAAATAATAATCTTGATGTCAGTGCTATAAAGCCCAACATGCATGGATTAAGAAATGAAACGACTTATGAATCACCACGAAAAATCTTTCAAAGAATGAAAGAAAAAGTACAGCATGCCAAACAAGAAGAAGAATCAAGGAGCAGTAGCATGTTGGGACCACCAAGATATGAACATAATAAAGTCTTCCCTTTTAACAGAGATAAGAAAATTCAGTTGCAGCGTACCTACCTCTGTGAGGAAAAAGAAAAATTCCAATCCAGTAACACTTCAGTAGGAGGTTAGTTTAATTATGCATGGACTTGAAAAAAAAAAAAGAACTACGATGTCTTTTTAGCTGTTTAATGTGTCAGACAGTTTTAAGTTCTCAGACTATAATAATGAACGGGGCACCAAAATGTCTGCTCACATTCTATTGAGTATAGTTTTTATGGTACAATAGAAGGGAGAAAACAGGAAAAAAGCCAGATGTGTCAAATTCCAGCACTGGACAGGCTGTCAGGAGTATTGCTTTGTGTTCAGTACTAGCCTGGACTACTGTACTGGGCTATACAATTGGGTTTTGTCTCAGAAACCAACAAGAGAAAGTGTAATAAAGATGATGGGTAACATGTGAAAGGTGCTATGATCAGAAGAAGCTGCAATGAGAAGATAACATTTTAGGTGAAAAAGTTTATGAAGTAATAAAAGCATATCCCAACAATCAACCTAACCTAGATTCAGGGACTCGCTATAAGTATAGGGACATGTAAGAGGACATGACAAATAAAAAAGTCAGTAACAGGAAAATAAGCCTGGGTTGCATAGAATACCCTGTCTGGAAAGAGAGATGTGAGAAGGAGGAGGAAAGGAAAGAAAGACAGGAAGAATATGTCTTATATTGGGATAATTATTGATTTGATAGAGTGATAAGTGGTAAGAAATGAAAAATAGATTTTATTATTTTTTTTTAAATTTCTAGGGATTAAGTCTAAAGCCTTAAGTATGTTAGGTAAGCCTGTCACTAGCCTTATGGAGGTATATTTTTGGTTTTGGTTTTTTTGAGACAAGGTATTGCTCTGCGATCCAGGCCAACCTGAACTTGAGAGATTCTTGTCTTAGTTTCCTAAGTTGTAGGTATGTGCCACTAGGCCTACCAGATATAAGAGAATTTGGGGTTCAGATCAAAGAGAACGCAAAGTAATGTTTCTTATATGAAGTAGGACAGGAAACAGGAACAAATGAAGTAATGAAACGTGTTATATATCATATATATGATATATATGTGAGTATAAGTATAAATGTATGTATATACTATGTATGCAGTGTGTGTGGGAGTGAAAGCAGATGAAGTTCCTGTCTTTGAGATTCTGATGGCTGGCTAATGTGCGAACATAATGATCTTTTCATCTCTGGCACAAATTTTAAGTGTTCTTCTTTATGTATGAAAATAAATGTAATCATTTAGAATATAAATCAGAATATGTGAATGGTACTACTGGTCCTTTTTATCTAGTTGACAAACTTTCATTTCTTTAAAGGCCTAAACATTCTGCCAAAAGTTAGGTATGGCAATATATTCCTATAATCCCAGTATTTAGGAGCCTTTCAAACTTGAAGCTAATCCTGACTACATAATGAGATCCTACTGAAAACAGGTCAAAGGAATATAAATTTTGGTTGAATTTGCAATTAGGTCTTAATATTTTGAATTTTAAAGGGTGGGTTAGAACTTGTTAATTGTTAGGACCATCTGAAAGGGCCTGTGGTCAACCACACAGGTCCTTGCCATCCTCTGGTACACAGGCTGGGATGTGTTGCTAATTCAAAATCGGAGTAAATCCTGTCCGGGTATCTCCAATGGCTTCTGAGGACTACACCCTAGTCTTTGAGGCTACATATACTGCGAGGAATCACAGCCCAAGTCTGCTTATAGAAGGTTTAATAGTATGCTTTTGTCTTGAAAAGGCAAATTGTAATTTGGAGAATTTTAATTTTTTTCCTCTCAGCATGATATAAGTACAGAAAGTGAAGGCAAGAGGAGATAATAAAGGGAGGTTTTTATGTCACTGTTATTTGTTATAAAAGCACACTATACTGGTTTGATTGTTACTCTAAATGCCTTCTAAATTCTGAAGTGTTTCTTTTTAAAGTGCCAACCTACAAGAAGTTTCTCTGAAATCATCAAGCATCATTTTCAGTGGCTTAATCATTGTTCTGCTATGAAAAGACACCATGTCCACAGTAACTCTTACAAAAGAAAGCATGTAATTGGGAGCTTGCTCATAGTTTCAGGGGAGTTAGCCTATTTTCATCATGTCAGGGAAGCATGGTGGTATGCAGGCAAGCTTTGGGTTGGTAGTAGAGAGCTACATCCTGATCCACAGACAGAGACAGACAGACACACTGGGCTTTGCAAGGGCTTTGAAACCTCAAAGCCTACCCCAGTGACACACTTCCTGCAGCAAGGCCACACCTTTTAATCCTTTCAGATAGGTGAGTAAGCATTCAAATATATGAATTTATGGGGTCCCATTCTTATTCAGAGTACCGTACCCAGCAAACAAAAGATTCAACACCAGTAGACAAAGCAGAAAGGCACAATTTAAGTTACAGTAGACTCTTCTGTGTTGTTTGTTATATGTTTGCAGTTGTTTTGTTTTTTTGCCAGTTACTTCAAAGTATTAAATGTTCTAGGTAGTTCCCAGTGGGCAGTAAGAACTAACTGCACCTTGAATTATAATAGTGGGTGTGGTAGTACAAGCCTTTAATCTCAGAACTCAGGAGGCAGAGGCAGATTTGATGCTAGCCTGGTCTACATAGTGAGTTCCAAGATAAACCAGGGCTACATAGAAAGACTGTTTTAAAACAAAACAAAACACTGGAGACACTTAAATTGAGCATGAGAGTAGACTATTCTTAATCTGATGTCCTTTAAATATAAGCAGTTTAAAACTTATTTCTATAGACCCTTTCTATAATTTTTAATTACTTCATTTGCTTGCCTATTTATTTATTTGTTGTATTTTTGGCAGAACCTTCATTCCTGAACCAAGACCCAAAAAATGTCTCAGCATCATGCATCTCAAGGAAGGCATTAACTAGAGCTCAGTTTGCTAGACAAGTTCTTCAATCAAAAGAGAATACTGTTAAAATCCCTGTGTCCAAAAACAACACATATGTTTTGGAAAGCATTGATTCTACTTATGAAAAGTTGGGAAATACTGATGTTAATTCTCTTAGTACAAATTGTGTTCCTATTAAGAATCTTAACCAGTATGATACTGATGTGAATACAGAAGAGAGTGCACAAGAGGATATTACAGAACAAAATGAAAAAACAGTGCCTAAAAGGACTATTCAAGGTCCCATGAAAGCTACATCTAAACCTACACCTGCAAGACCAAGGCTTAATCTAATACCTCACCGGTCTCAAAGAAAGGTTACAAAGCTTCAAACTATCGTAAGTGAAGTAAAAAAACACCAGGTAGGGAGACATTTAAGGCACACGTTAATTTTTGTTTTTAATTGTCCCCTTATTTCTGTTCCTCAAGAGGTTTAGGCTCTTTTTATGCTTTATTTCTTGTTTTATTGTTGGCTGTAGCAACTATAAGCCTAGAGGAAAGACAAATGGGCTGAAAGTAAAGTGAGTTTGTTGTTAATTCTTGCTCTATTACGAGTTGTAAACTTTAGCAACTCACTTATGCCTATAAGAGATGAACACTGACATCACTCCTACTTCTATGCTGACTTTTGAGGTATAATTAACATTTGAAATAGAAAAGAATTATAATAGCTTAAAGAGTTGGGATTTTACTTGATTGAAAGTTATATAGGGTGAACAGGAAAATACTTAGAGCATCAGACTGTTACATTAAGATATATTTCTCTTTCCTTAAAATAGAGATGATACTCACCTCCTAGAGTTGTAAAGATAATATGAACTAGTGAATCTAAGGAACATTTTTTCATATATACTTGCTGCCTGCTGGTATATCTAAATGTGGAGAAAATAATATGAATCCCACTTTTATAAACTTTTTCTCATTTCTAGGAATCAAACCCACAGATTTGTGCTATACCATTAATCCATATCCCCAGATACCTACATTTTATTTTATTTTTTAATTTATTTTTAATTTTTTATTAATTATAGTTTATTCACTTTGTATCCCAGTGTAGCCCCTTCCTTTATTCTCTCTCTATCATATCCTCCCTCATCTTCTCCCATGCCCCTCTCCACGTTTACTGATAGGGGAGGTCCTCCTCCCCTTCCCTCTGACCCTAGCCTATCAGGTCACGGTGCAATACCAAAGACCATCTGCCCATTTTAGCATCTTGGTTCAACCAAATTCTCTGGGGGATTTGTCTTTAAATAAAAATGTATAATTTTATTTAAAATGAATGGTTACTCGTTACATTAATTTTGGCTTTAGTTTCACTCAGAAACACTTTAATCTTAAATTTCTATGAACTATATATGTTTTTATTATCAGTGTTCATGGAAAAATTTATATGTTAATGACATTTTACTTACACCAAAATCACTTTCTGAGGTATTCAGCTGTTTGCTTGGGAATAGAATGCTATTGAATCTTTATTACCAGCTGTGACCTTAATGGTATATAGAAGCTGAAAATATAGCTTAACAAAAATATACTCTTAATTTTTTTGGAGACAAAGTACATAATATATTTGGCATTTTAACCCCTCCCCCAAGTTGCTGTGTTTTCTATAAGATTTGGTAGTTCAATGTATATGTTAAGATCTTCCCTTCATGGTTAAGCTGTTTTGTATTAATATTTGAAATGCAGACATATATTATAACCTCAGTTAAGTGTATATTTTTTTCTTTTACTCAATAAAGTAGTTTTAAACAATTGATGTTTAAAATGGGCTGGTTCTTATATAGATGGGTACTAAGAAATCATTAGGATTACTTAAGATTTTTCTTGTAATTCAGTTTTTCTAAGGCTAAATGTTAACTTAGTAATGCTGCATACAAGTAGTAAAATAAATGTCTTTGCTTTATGCTTAATTAGGCAGTCCAGCTACAAGAATGGGTGATTAAAGTCATCAATAATAATACTGCTATATGTGTAGAAGGAAAGCTGGTGTAAGTATAACATTTAAGTATTTTTTAAATGACACTTAAGTTGGCTGTATGTAAGTGATGAGTGACAAACAGCATCTTCCTACAGAACACATTCTCATGAGATTATACATAAACTGAAGGCAAATGCAAAACATGACATTAATCTTTTGATGAAGTTATCTAATGTAAATTACTGATCCATCAAAGGATCAAAATTATTTGAAGTTGCCAAGCAGTTACATATTAATTGATACTTTTTTGTTCTCTCAGAAGTGAAAGCATTGTCAGAAGAGTAGACTTTAAGCTTTTGAAAACCAGTTTCTCCATAGTGAAACAATCTGCAGTGGAACATAAAGAATATCTAAGGTTGAATATGTAAAGTCTAGTGGTCTACTTTGTCTTACTGCATTATCCCTCTTTTCCATAAATGTCCAATATGTAGCATAGATTGACTTTTTTGTGGGAATCCCATTATTGCTGCTTACTATCATTGCTACTTGAACAAGTTATTTTTTTATGAGGCTCAACTTTTTCATTGGTAAAGTAATAATTAAGTAATTAGTCATAATAATATGACTAATATTGTGGGAAGGATTTTCTTGTTTTGAGAGTATCTCATGTAGTACAGGCTCAGGCTGGCCTTACACTGATAGGTACTTGCATATGACTTTCAGCTCATGCTTGGTGGGTAACTTTGTTGTAGGTAGTGTTAAGATAGTCTACAAAGAGTCCAGGACAGCCAAGGCTACAGAGAAACCCTGTCTCAAACAAAACAATAATAGAAAAGAAATCATTTACCAAAAAAATATATTAAATCAGTTAATATTTACAATATTAGAGAACAGTGCCTTTTAGAGTATGATTTAAATGTTAAATGAAGTTGTGGGCTGTGGTGGCATGTACCTTTAAATCCTACACTTTGGTGGCAGAAGCAGGTGGATCTCTGTAAGTTTGAGGCTAGCCTGGTCTGCATAGTTCAGTTCCAGGACAGCCTGGCCTATGTAAAGAGACCATGTCTCAGCAATAATAAAAGAAACAAACAAGAAACCATACCTTCCCCAAAAGAACAGAAACAATTATGTTTGTATTTCAAGACAGGGTTTCTCTGTGTAGCCTTGGCTATCCTAAACTCACTTTGTAGACCAGGCTGGCCTCAAATTCACAGAGATCCACTGCCTCTGCCTCCCCAAGTGCTGGGATTATAGGCATGCGTCACCACTGACAGTCCCTTACCCCAAATTATATTAAATAAAGCGAAAAAGATTCAAAGATAAGTATTAAGATATAATTTTAATCCCGTTTGTTGAAATTGAGAGAACTTCTTTATAACGTGTGTGTTTATTATCTGTCAAATGAAGAATGCTTAGCACTTATCTAGTAGATCTTCATATTTGATTCTAATTTTTTTTTATCATTCAGTTTTCTTTTTTATTATTTTTTACAACTTATTCACTTTGTATCCTGGCTGTAGCCCCCTGCCTCATCTCCTCCTGGTCCCACCCTACCTCAATTTTCTTTTTCTTTTTGTAGTTCTTTTTTTAAAAAAAAATTTTATTAATTATAGTTTATTCACTTTGTATCCCAGCTGTAGCCCCCTCCCTCCGTTCTCTCCCAATCCCACGCTCCCTCCCTCATCTTCCCCCATGCCCATCTCCAACTCTTCTAATTTAATATTCTTAATTTCATTTAAAGATGTATGAAGAGTAGATTTCTGGGTAAATGATTCACTATTTTATTTATTTTTTTTTTGCAAGTAGCACCTTTACACAATGGAAGGTAAAAACATTTGCCTGTATATTTATAGTTTTGAAAAGAAAAAACAACAACAAACTCAAAACAAGACCCTTACAATTAGATGGATCTACTGGACATTTTAGAGCATGGAGCAGGGACTTGAGAAATGGCTTAGTGGTTATGAGCACTGACTGCTCTTCCAGAGGACCTGGGTTCAAGTCCCAGCATCCTCATGACAGCTCACAATTCTCTGTAACTCAAGATCTAACATCCTTACACAGACAGACAGACATGCAGGCAAAACAGCAATGTACATAAAATAAGTAAATTTAAAAAAAGAAAGAAAAGAACATAAAGCAGGAGGGAGGGAGTGATGGCATAGCGGTTAATACCACTTTCTGCTTTTCCAGAGAATACAGGTTCAATTCCCAGCATCCTCAAGACAGTTCACAGCTGTCTGTAACTCAAGATATGACATCTTTATACAGACAGACATACATGCAGACAAAACACCAATGCACATAAAATAAATTTAAAAAGAAAAAGGAAGAAAAGAACATGGAACAAGAAGAAGGGAGTGAGGGTGCTCATGTAATCTATACTCTCAGGTCCTTGGAGGATGTAAAATTCCAGGGCTATCTTGGGTACCATAGTAAGAGCAGAGCCTCTTGACGGGTGTACTACCTTAATTTGATCCCTCAGACTCGTATGTTGGAAGTAAAGAACTGATCCCCAGAAACTGTCTCTGACTCCATAAGAATTTCATGGCTAATACACAAAATAAAGATGTAAAACAAAAAAAACAAAAAAAAAATATTGCAAGACCCTATCTGAATAAATAAAAGTAATATTTATGCAAAACAGTCAACAAAAATGTGAGGAAAAGGGCCACCAAAAATCTTTGAAGGCTTAGTAACTATTAAGCTGAAGTTTCAGATGTTGCCAGCAGCAAATATTTGATAACTGTTTCTTTTTCTTTTCTTTAATTTAATTTAATTTTTTTTATTATTAGTTACATTTTATTAACTCTGTATCCCAGCTGTATCCTGCTCCCTCATTCCCTCCCAATCCCTCCCTCCCTTCCTCATCTCCTCCCTGCCCCTTTCCAAGTCCACTGATTGGGGAGGACCTCCTCACCTTTCATCTGACCCTGTTTTATCAGGTATCTTCAGGACTGGCTGCGAAGTCCTCCTCTGTGGCCTGCTCCTCCCTTGGGGGTGGGGGAAGGTCAAAGAGCCTGCCATTGAGTTCCTGCAGAAATAGTGCCTGTTCCCCTTACTATGGGAAACCAATTGGTTACTGAGCTACCACGGGCTTCATCCAAGCAAAGGTTCTAGATTATATTCATACATGGTCCTTGGAGTGTCAGTCTCAGAAAAGACCCCTGTGCCCAGATATATTTGGTCCTTGTGGAGCTCCTATCCTTTCCACGTGATGACTGTTTCTTTATACTAGTGCTATATTTTTTTAATTGGGTACATTGATTGACAACAGTATAGTTTCTTGGCATATACTTTGAGAATCACATTAGCCAAGCAGTTGAGTTTTGAACTAGTTAGCCCTCAAGTATTTTGTAATTAGATTAATAATCTTGTTATTGTTGTGGTAGCTAAGAGTACAAAATTAGTACTTCCTTTTGGAGTGGAGGGTGACATCAAGACTGCATCTCACTGTGAAGCTCTAATTGTCATTGAACTTACTATGTACACCAAGCGGATCTCAGTTGAGTAATCTTCCTGCTTTTACCTATAAGGTGCCAGGATTACGTATAACTGGCTCAAGTTTGTATGCGTATATGTTTGTGTGTGTGTATTCCTGATAAAGTGTGAATATTTTGACCTTATTAACTTACCCTTTTTTTTTTTTTTCCTAGAAATATGCCTAATGTTTACTGGCATAGTAATGTAATTATAGAGCGGATTAAATACAATGAACTTAAGACATTATCAGGCAACATTTATATGTTAAAAGGAGTGATAGACCGGATTTCCATGAAAGAAGCAGGTAAATGGGTATCAGTATTAGTTAAATCTTTCCATAGCTTCCCCTTTTTCCTAAGTAAATCCCAGGCTCATGAATTGACCGTAACTTTATTACTCATTAGAGTAAACTTCTAGTACTAACTCTTCATTGTAGTTCAGCTTTGCTTGTCTTATTTCAGAAACAAACCAGCTATTCCCTATCACAAGGCTTTTCATTTTCCTGTTTCTAATAATTCCATTTTGCCACATGACTCATTCTCTCATGTCTCCAAGATTTGGCTTTCTATTTCATTAGGATTTCCCTGACTACCCCCTTTTCAATTTGTTGTCTTATCCTTTTCTCCCATGAATATGCTTAACCATTTTTTTCTGTGATACCAATCTAGCAAAGAATTTTACTTCCTGGCTGTGCTGTTTCTCTTACACACTAGACATCCAGTATATATTGCTGAGAATTTTTATTTACCTAACTGATAGGTCCTCAGTATTCCAACAGTACTTGACATAAAATAAACCGTAACTACATGTTTCTTGACTGACAGTGAATTATAGAGACCCCTTTAAAAGTCTAGGCTTTTGGCTAATTTTCTTTTTTTAATTAAAATAATTATATATTTATTTTGCTTTTTGTTAAATAGGATATCCCTGTTATATCATAAGAAAATTTATGTTTGGATTCCCTGAAAATTGGAAGGAACATATTGATAATTTTCTAGAAGAATTAAGGTAAACTGTCTTCAGTTTTTAAAAATGGGCTTTATCAAAGTATAAGTTATGTTCTGTAAAATGTACTCATACTCATTTTAGATACAAATTTGATGAGCCTTCTCTGATATGTATGCTTACGTAAACATTGTGACATGGTTTTTAGTTTGTTGGTTTTAGTTTTTGTGTCTGTATGCTAGTTTTGAAATTTTTTTTTGTCATCTTAGGAATTTTAGAAATAATAAACTTTTATTAAAATTTCTGCCATATTGAATAAGTTCAAAAAGAAAATAAAATTTGAGATACATTCCCGAGAATTCTTCAATCACCTACCCTTTAAATGGCGTGTAGTTGTTAAATATTTGTCTGATGTTCTTGATTCATTAATCTCCATTAATTTTCAGTAGTTTTTGAGTACCTGCCAGGTACTCAAACATTGAGAGAAAAATTTTATTAATTCTTTGTTCTTCGGGACCCGGGAGCGAGTAGGACATAGAGAGCTTTAAATTTGATGACTACAAGTAACTTATAATAGGAATTGGTGACTGTTTTTCCTGTAAAGTGCCAGATGCTATTTTTGTGGGCATGTTACTTCTTTTCCCAACCATTCAACTCTGTCTTTTCAATAGGAAAGCAACTATAGGTATTTCAGTAAGCCTTATTTATTTATAAAAATAGGCAACTGCCCAATAGTGTTCTTTAATCTTGGCCTCACATTTGGTAGGTAAGTACTCTACCACTGTAGATGTTTGTCCTAACATTTTGTTAAATCTACTTACATAATTGTTCTTTGTTTTATTGAAGTACTCATTTCTTTTGAGAAGAGTCTCATAACAGGTTAACCTCACCATGTAGCCTAGTCTGGCCTTGAACTCCTTGAGCATCCTATTTGTGGGTTGAGCTTCTTAGGTTTTTGAGAACCACTATTAAAGAAAAAAAATAACACAATTGTTTTAGGGCTGGAGAAAAGAACAGGAATAAGAACAGACAGAAAACAGCAAGATTCCACGATAAGCAAAAATTAATGAAAAATGATGCAGAAGGTAAACAAACAGATGTCCTCCAAAGGGCCAACATCACTTATGACCTTAATGGTGATAGCTTGGGTATGTTTGAATTTTTCTTTGTTGCTAAAGTGGTAGAGTCTTACATAAGCTTAACACTGTTGTATATAATATGTAGTGTGGTGCTCTTTGAATAGAACCTTAAAATTTCTCTTTGATTACCAAAGTGACTGTATTGCCTTTTATTTCATGGAATAAACCTTTAATCACAATGCTAACCCCCTGATAAGTGTATCAATAAAAGATTACATTTAGGCTACCAGCAATCTTGTAGTAGAGACAAGTGTCTATAATTGCTTTTATGGAGGAACTGGCATATATTCTTGAGTGACAAGTGCTATAAAAATTGGCAGAACTGTTCTATGTCAGGTCTTTTCTAACATAATCTACTTCTCACACCATTCACTTTCATAAATAATTTATGAAGATTAATGTATAGTCTTCTCTATTATAGATGATAAAAGTTACTGAAATCCTTTGTGCACATTTCTCGGATTTTATCTTTGTAGCTAAGAGCTGTACAAAATTTTAAAACTTCTAAGAATTACAGATTGTTTTTGCTAAAGCCATGGCACCACGTTAGCTATAAATGCACTACTTTTTTTTCTAATGATGTTATACTATTTTTTTTATTAATTACACTTTATTCACTTTGTATCCCCCCTGTGGTTCCCTCCCTCCTCCAGTCCTAATCCCCCCCTTCCTCCACCCTCTGCATGCATGCCCCTCCCATTGATAAGGGAGGTCCTCCTTTCCTTCCTTCTGCTCCTAGTCAACTAGGTCTCATTAGGAGTGCCTGCATTGTCTTCCTCTGTGGCCTGGTAATGTGATTCCTCCTCAGGGGGAGGTAATCAAAGAGCAGGCCAATCAGTTCATGTCAGAGACAGTCCCTGTTCCTATTACGATGGAACCCACTTGATACTGAACTGCCATGGGCTACATCTGTGCAGGGGTCTTAGGGTATCTTCATGGATAGTCCTTGGTTGGAGCAGCAGTTTCAGGAAAAACCCCTGTGCTCAGATATTTTGGTTCTGTTGCTCTCCTTGTGGAATTCCTGTCCTTTCCAGATCTTACTGTTTCCCACTTCTTTCCTGCCCAAACGTTGCCCATAAGTCTCAGCATCTGCATTGATAGTCTGCAGGGCAGAGCCTTTCAGAGGTTCTCTGTGTCAGGTTCCTGACTTGTTCCCTCTTTTCTCCTTCTTCTGATGTCCATCATTCTCCTTGAAGTTGTGTATGTCTTTTTTTAGTTCAAAGAAAGCAATAATTTAAAGGCATGATTAAAAAAATTACATTTAACCAAAGCTTTAGTTCTTTCTCAACCCTTTGTTTTTATGAAAGTCATCCATTTTCCTTAAGTTGGGCAGGTTGCTTATTGTCATTACTAGAATGTTTTGAATCTCCTGGAGTCCTAGGATTATATTACTTGATTTTGCCCACCCTTTTTTTTTTTTTTACTCCTAAATGAAAAATAACCCTGAATCACTTTTTAGGAAAGTGACCTAAATTGTAACTGATTATTGCAAACGTTGTTGAAAACGTGGCAAGTTGGATGGAATACAAATTTAAAAGATGGAAGAAGTCATCTATTTTCCTTAAATTTGGCAGGTTGCTTATTGTTGTTACTAGAATACTTTGAATCTCCTGGAATCTTAGGACTATATTACTTGCTATTGTCTCCACTCCCCTCACTCCCACCTTTTTTTTTTTTTTTACTCCTAAGTGAAAAATAACCCTGAGTTGCTTTTTTAAGAAAATGATCTGAATTGTAACTATGATTATTGCAAACGTTGTTGAAAAAATGTGGCAAGTAGGTGGAGTATAAATTTAAAAGATTGAAGTTTGGTAAACTATTTAATATGCTACCTATGCACAAAGGAGAAACCAAATGATTTTAAAGCATCTTTTATGGACCTTGCTTCATGTTACAAATTTGGGGATGAATAAGGCTTGGCATCTCCTTTTAGTAAATGCAGTTTAAGGCACATATGTTATATGTATCATTTTTCTAAGATGATTCAGTTTATCTTGTTTTATGAAACTTTTAGATACTAATTTTATGAAGTTTTAGGTACTTATTATCTTATCACAAATTGTTTTTAGTGGTTATTTTGTCATTATTAATATGTATATATCAGTATATCACTTTCTGTGAGAAAATAACGAAAAACATAGCTGGAAAAAAGGTTCAGTGGCTAAGAGCATGTACCACTCTTTCTGAAAACCTCAGTTCCGTTCCTAGTACCCTTATCAAGCAGCTCACACCTGCCTGAATCTCAGCTCCAGGGAATTCAATACCCTTTTTTGGCTTTTGCACAAACCCCCACACAAGAACACAAGCACATGTATACACAATTAAAAGTTCAAAAAACCCTTAACTATGCCTAACATTAAACAACTAAGAATATAAAAGTGTGCCAACCCGTGATAATTTAAAGATGGCATGGTTGTGTTTTGGTTATCTAACATATAATTTTCCATATTTAGTGCTATTACAGTTTAAAAACTATCTCTGCTATATAATGAGTGTGAGTGAGGATGCTCATGAGCTCCTGTGCTCCTATGGAGGAAAATGTTTTCCACAAAATAATGTTATACTTGAGATTTTGGGAAAATAACGTGGGTTTAGTTATACATTAAAGTGTATAAATTAACTGAAACATAATTTCATACATGTGATAAAATAAGAAAAACCGTCACGAGCTTTCTATTTAGTTGATGTGCAGTTAGAATGTATAGAATGTAAATTCACAAAATAATACTGTTCTGGTTTTAGATAGAGGTTCAAAGCAGGTGTAATTGTTCAGTTTTGGGTTTGTTTTTTTGTTTTGTTTTGTTATTTTAGGAAAATAAAAGTGATTTGAACTAACCTATACTTCATACAGCGTGGTCTGTCCTATAAAAATTTTTTTATTATAATCAAAGTACAGTGAATATGTGCCATTTCTTTAGACAGATTGTTGTTCTCATATTTGGCTCTTTAATGTGGAAAAGCATCTTTTCCTCTTTCCATTTTTCTTTCCTCTTTTACTCTCCCTTTTTCTAACTCTCTCTTTTCTTCTTCCTTTAGTTTCCTTTCTTTATCTTTTTCTCTTCCCTGAGACAGTCTCTTTATGTTGCTAACACTATCTTCTTTAGTCTTCTGGATGATGGGAATACAGGCCTAGACCACCATACTCTGCTGAAAAACAGCTAATCTTTTATGTAACTATTTAATGCTCCATCTTTGAATTCACAGAAATGAAGAAAAATAAGCACAGTGGGTTGTCAGGAGCTATGGAATTAAACACTGGATATAATAATTGTCAAAATAAGCCACAGTTAAGGCTCCTTCATAACCAAGTAAGTTATAGTATCCAAATGATGGAGTAGATGACTTACTCAGTCGGGCAAGGTACTAATGCTTAGGAATGTAATGTGGTACTAGGACTGCATCAAAAGATACAAGTTTTTGTTTTGTTTTGTTTTGTTGGTAAGTATGATTTATATTAGTCAGTTGTAACTTAAAAACTGCAAAAGTCAAAAGGGGTGTATTTGATGTCTTAAGAATTGTAAGAATTGTTTTAGAAATACGATCTCAGATATCTTTAAATCAGTGTTTAAGAGAAAGTTAGAAAAGTAAAAGCTTACACTGAACAGTAAAAATTGTTATTTTTTTAATTTTTTTTTTTTTTACGGAAACTGCTGTTGAAGTTAAATAGGTATTATAGGGGTTATGTGTCTAATAAATGATAAAAAAAATACAGTGATAAGGATCCACTTCCATTGGTACAGTATTTGGTATGTATGGGAGATATACCCTTTGTTTGATCCCAGCGCTCCTACATTTTTTAGCTTGTAAAAGTGTCCATAGGATAAAATTTCTGCAACTTTTTGGTGCTCTTAAATGTCTGGATACAATGTAATTATCTGTTAGAGCTGCTTGCAGTTCATATATGTAGACAGTAGGAATTTTGTCTAGTCTCTTTCTTTTTAAGGCCTCTGAACTGCATTTTGGAAAAAACTGTTAAATTTAACTTTAATTCTCATAGTTTTATGTTTTTTTGTGTTTTAAGATCTATATTTTTTATTTACTTATTTATTTGGTGGGGGTCATATGTGTGCTACCTTAAGCATATGGCAGTCCAAAACAACTTGCACAAGTTTTCTTCTATCATGTGAATTCTGAGGATCAGCTTCATTACTTGCTGAGCCATCTCTCCAGCCCATAGAGATTTTTATTAAGTTTGCAGCTGTAAGTTAATGGTACTTATTTTCCATTAAAAAAGTACAGGCAACAATAACAAAAGTAAAGCTTTGTAGAGTTAAGTCTTAAATAAAGCATATAAAAAAGTACTTCAAATATAGGCTGTAGACATGGCTTAATGGTTAGGAGTACTTCCTGTTTTTCCTGAGAACCATGGTTCAGTTCCCAGAACCTACATCAGTTAGCTCACAGTTGTCTAACTTCAGCTCCAGGGGATCTGATATATCTTCTGGCCTCTATTGGGCACTCGCATATACATGGCATATACTCAGACACATACACTTAGAAAAAAGTAAAACGTTTCTAAAAAGTAAAGTTGCAAATAGTTAAACACTTTTATACGATCAGGTTGTATGTAGTACTTTTAAAGTTACAATTCCAACAGGATTTTCTGAATGTTTCAGTACCTACAATGATTTATACTTGATGTATACCCAAGATCATGTCAAGATTGTAGTTATTAAAAGTACATTGTTTGTTTTGAAGGAATTAACTGGAAAGAAAGATCGCAGAAAATCTCCCTCAAAAAACTTTGAAAATTGTGAAGGAATAAATGAAAAGAAGATTCAAAGTCAGGAGCAAGGTAATATCTCTCGTAGTTACGTAATGACTAGGATAATAACTTTCAAATATTTTTAACATAATAAATGAACTTTTTAAGTTTCTTGAAATAAAATGGTAAAGATGTTAATAAAGATGTAGTTACTTGGGCATAAAATGATTACTTAGTGAACTAGCCTGTTACTTTAAATATGGTATTTTTTAAAGGTTTGGCTTAATACGATCCCTGAGTTACTCTCTTTCACAGCGCTCTGCAGTGGCAAACACTTGTAATCACCACTCATGGGAGACAGAGACAGGCAGATCACTGTGAGTTCAAGGCTAGCCGGGTCTACAAAACGAGTCCAGGACAGCCAAGGCTACACAGTGAAACCCTGTCTCAAAAAAACAAAAGCAAAGCAAAACAAAAAAAAAGAGTTCTGTATCGTTTTAAGTAGGTGTTTGCTTATATGAATGTTTTCTTTTATGAAACTAATGCCATAATTAGGGTTTGAGAAGTGTTGGTTTTTCAGAGTAATTCAGGTCTTATTTACCAAAATTTAAAGTGCCTTTTTTCCAAATATTGACATGTTCAAGATTTCATGTGATGATAAATTCATGGGCCTAGTTGTGGCAGCCCATTGGGAGTTAATGGCAAATTGGAATGCACATCTGAGCAGTGGAATTCAGCCTCTTGGCCCTGGCTATAATCTAAAGCTTGGTGGCTCAGAGACTGACCCCAGCAATTCTACAGCAGAGGGCTCTGACCCTAAGAACTAGACAATAAATTCCATGCAACCATGGTAACCAGACAGCAGGTTCTGTGTAACCTTGAGTGAGCTCTCCTATGTAAAATTGCTAAGTAAAATTGCCTCCGTTAGAAACTGCTTGTACCTTCCTGCTATTTAAGAGTTAATCTGACTTTTAGTAAACAACACCTCGATCAGAATGTAGACTTGGTGTCCTTTGTGTCACCCTGTCTCTCTCCCCAGCCCTCACTCAGGTGGTATCCAGGTGTCACTGCTGGCTGGTGACAACTAGTGGGTTTTTTTGTTTTTGTTTTTGTTTTTTTTTACTATAAGTGAAAATGAAGAAAAGGCTTCAAAATTCATATAAGTGGAGAGGAATACAGTACTGCCTAGGCTACCACATTCAAACTAGTTAATTTAAAGTACCAAGAAGAGACTGAATGATAATTAAGATTAAATGAAGTAAAATGATAAAAATATTCTCACTAGAAATATTTTGTTCAAAATAATGTGCAGATTTAAAAATTTTTCTAACTGCTTGATTTGATTTATGTAAGAATTAGAAGAAAATGCTTTATAAGTTTTATGATAGCCATGAAAAATCTTATGGAAACTTTTTTTTTTTTTTTTTTTTGGTTTGTTTTCATTAGGATAGTTGTACTAAGCAAATAAAATACTCATAATTTTGAAGTTTTACCCACCATTATTGTTAGCCTTTCATTTTGTTGTTGATCTTTTATGGCATGATATTTGTATATAGTTGCAATATTATTATGATGGTGTGGTAACTTAGAATTCATAAATATGTGTCTTAGTTACTGTTCTGTTGTGGTAAAGAAACACCATGATCAAGGCAACTTATAGAAAGAAGCATGTAATTGAGAACTTCCTTGCAGTCCATGGCCATCATGGCAGAGAACATAGCAGTAGGTAGGAATGGTGCTGGAGCAGTAGCTGAGAGTTCATATCTGACCCTCAAACATAAGACAGACAGCTTACTTGTAATGGCATGGGTTTTTGAAACCTCACAGTCTGGTTCTCAGTGACACACTTCTTCCAACAGTCAACCTCCTAATCATTCCCAAACAGTTCTACTAACTGGGGACCGAGCATTCAAACACCTGAGCCTGTGGTGGCCCTTATAGTTCAAACCACCACAATAAGCCTAAGTCGGATTTAGATTTTCAGGTAGGTTTGCTTCTGTAGTCTCCATTTTTGGTGAGACAGCTGGTCTCATTTGCTTTCTTCACCTATAAGATGGTAGAATAAAGATACCAATTTCTGTAGCTTCACTTATCTCCCATGATAGTTCTTGGAGGTTGGAGAGGGTTGCAAATATGTGCTGCTTTACCTACACTATGGATGAAAGTGGAACGGGATGAATAAAGTTCCACACTTTCCTAATCACATCCGTAAGTAGCACAACTTGTTTTCTATCTTTCAGGCCTACTTAGATTCCCTAGTGGATTTCATGTCTCCTAACTACATTTTGAAAATTGATTTTTAAAACATTTGTTTAGTATCTACTAATGTTGGAGAGTAAAAAAAAAAAAAAGTTTATGAAAGTGAAGTTCTGATATCAATGATTTTCTCAGTCAAAGGATAAAACTGGTGTACAATTAAGATGAAAGACACCAAAGTGGCATTTTGAAAAAGTGTTCTGGAAATTTAATGGGTGAAGAGCTCTTTGGTGGAAGAATGGGGATAGTTTGTGGACACAGTAGGATAAAGAATACGGTCTAAGCAAGCAATAGTTTGTCTTGTAGATGAGTAAAGGAAAATTTTCAGGGAGAGTAAACAATTAAAGTTCAGGCCCAAGCTGATTTTTAGCAATATATGTACCTAACACCCATAGAGTATTGTTCTAATTTGAGGTCAGTGATAGACTGAAACTATATTGAAAGCCAGATAGAAAAGCTACTTGTATGCTAGTCACCTGGGAAGTCATTGGCCGGATTGTATACATAAGTACATGCTTACATTTGAAGTGACAGTGATCTAAATAGACCAGTGTTTTGTGTAACCTGTGGGGAAAAATTGTCCTATTTTATAAGAGTATTTTCTCCTTTACTTATGAGATTTTGGTTCTGATTTTGTTCAATGAAATAAAGAGAGAACTGAAATATTAAATGTGTCCATTGATACCCTGAATACACTGGAAGAGCCTACCTCTGACAAAGAAAGAAAATGGCTGCCTCTCAATCAAAAAGAACCTTATGTTTTAATGACACCACTTAGAACTCCAAAGGTGATAGAGCAAAGATGTATGGACTACAATATCTCTATTAAAAGATTAACAGATTTTTTCAAACCAAAGCATCAGGAAGAAAGTAAATCAGATGGACATGGAACTCAAAGTCCTACCCAAAAGTCCTTAGAGAACTTTGAACATCATGTGGGTTGTGAAAACACCAAAGAGGGCTGCTGTGAATGTGATATACTCACTGTCAAACATAGAGTTCAAATACCTTTTCCAAAAAATAAACGAATGCTCACCAGTGATTTTAAGAAAAAGATTGAGTTGCCCTCAAAATTGCAGAAAACTGCAACTCAAATAGCCTTATCACCTTATAGCCAGTCCACATCAGATTTGTCAAGTAAAGAGAATGAAATAGAAATTAAAAGTAAAACCAGAGCAAGAAATACCAAAGAAGGACTGATTCAGCAGAGAAAAAACACAAGCAACATCACAGAAGATATCCTCCTGGTTTCAAAATCTAAAGATAAGAGTGATTCTCAAATCACACTAAAGAAGCCTAGATCTTTTACTAAGGAATCGCTTCCAAAATCTGGTGTTGACAAGAACATTCCAGTTGAAGTTAAGAGATCTGATAAAACAGACAGGCAACTGTTAGACTGTATACCTGGTTTAACTGATGATGAAGAATGGAATGAGCAAGAGTTACAGAAGCTTCATAGGTAAGTAGTTTTTGTCTCTGGAATATCTACAGAATGGTTACAAAACAGCAGAAAGGGCCAGATTTAATGACTCCTAATCATTCTTAGTATAGTGATATTAGTGAGCTTTTCAGGAAAGTGATTTTTCTGCTTTTTACTGGTGATAAATTCTTTAAGAATTGAATCTGAGTTTAGCTGGTGAGATAGCTCAGCAGTTAAGAGCACACACTGGCTGTTCTTCCACAGGACCCAGGTTTGATTTCCAGCACCCACAGTGATTCACCATCACCTGTAACTCCAGTTCCAGGGGATTTGATGCTTTTCTGGCCTCTGTGCACAGATACAGATGCAGGCAAAACACTTGTACACATAAATTTTTTTAATAAAAAATGAATTGAATTTGACTACAGAAACTCATGAAGAGTTTCAGTAGTGTGGTAATATGGAAACCAGATGATAATTGAGTTATGAAAACTAAATGGGAAGATTAAAGAGATAAGACTATGTGGAAATCAAGGAAACTGGCAAAGATGAGGACTAGAAATCCATATATAATACAAGGGAGTGTGGAGATAAGGGAAGATATTTGGTTGCTGATTTGTCAGATGGTTGATGCTAGTATATAGTGGTATGCAGATCAAAGTCTCATCAAAAGAACAAAAGATGTAACTGATAAAAGAGAGGCTAACAAAGAAACATGCTACATTTAGTCTTCTTATTTACTGTATGCCCTTAAAAGTACATAACTTTAGAATACATTTCAAGTCTTTTTCAAAGTTTTTCCTGAGACACTTCTGTGACACTGTACAACCTTCACTGGCATCTTCCCTACATGACCCTTTTTTGCTTATTTTTCAGGCAAATGAATCTCCTTTCTTACTTTACCAAATTTTTATTTTTGTCTGTTTTCTTGCTATAGTATATTTCTTAGTGATCTTTGTTTATTTTCCACAATTCTAACTTTATTCTGTGTAAAGCGACCTTCAGATTTATCCGTTGCTCTGAATTCTTGATTTGTATTTACATTTACCTGGTGAATATAACTATATAAATATTTCCTATAGCTCTGACTTGTAAAAATTGAAAAACATTTTTATTGATAATCATTTTTTAAATTAAAAAAAATTTTTTTTCAGTTTTTTGAGACAGGGTTTCTCTGTGTAGTCCTGGTGGCCCTGGAACTTGCTCTGTAGACAAGGCTGGCCTTCAACTCAGAGAACTCTTGAGTCTGCCTCCAGAGTATTGGCATTAATGCCAGCCATTTTTATTTCGGAAATTGCAGCCTATTTTCTTAATACTCCTTTGATGCGATTTGCTCAAATTGTAGAATTAACTTTGAGCTTGTAGTTTGTTCTTTTCATCTGGATAATCCCGCTTAGATATCTCTAGGTTAGTTTTAAGAATGGAACTGAGAGCCTGGAGTTGGTGGCGCACAACTTTAATCCCAGCACTTGGGAGACAGAGGCCAGGCAGATCTCTGAGTTCAAGGCCAGCCTGGTCTACAAAGTGATTTCTGGGACAGCCAGAGCTGTTTCACAGAGAAACTCTGTCTTGAAAAAAACAAAGACAACAACAACAAAAAAATGTAACTGAAATTCTGAACTGTCCAGAAATTTTTGCTGCACTTCATAATTCGCTGCAGCTTCATATTTTATACTCTCCTACTTAAGACCAAGAGCAGACAATGTTTGCAGTTTCACCTTTTCTAGCTATAGCTCTCATCATTTCCTTATAACACAGCTTTTTAGCTTTACTTTATATTTCCAGACATCTTTAGATGTTTTTTTTTTTTTTTTTTACTTTCTTTTTTTTACTTTTTGGTTTTTTCTTTCTTTCTTTTTTTTTTTTTTTTTTTTTTTTTTTTTGAGACTGGGTTTCTCTGTGTAGCCCTGGTTGTTTTGAGGCTTGCTCTGTAGAACAGGCTATCCTCAAACTCAGATCCATCTGCCTCTGCCAACTGGTTAAAGGTGTGCACCACCACCACCCTGCTAATTTTAATTTTTTTATGTGGAATTACTTTTTCAAACAGGGTCTCGCTATGAGAACAAGCTGGCCTAGAACTCTAGATTGTTGAAGTATATTGATCTGAGCTTTCCAAGTGCTAGCATTACAGGCCTTTAACAGCATACCAAGCCAGTCCTGCCTGCCTGCCTGCCTGCCTTCTTTCCTTCCTTCCTTTCTTCCTTTCTCTTTCTTTTTACTTTTTTTTTTTTCCAGTGTTAGGGATCAGACTCAGTCCCTTCTGTAAGTTAGGCAAGCGTTCTACCACTTAGGTAGATCTTCGGTCCTCAAAAGATAGTAAACTTTCTAGACTTCAAAGACTTAGTTGCCAGTAAAGTAGAATAAATGTGCTTGTTTCTTGGACTATACAGTTAAAATCTGGATAGAATGCGTGGCAGCCTTTGCCAGTTTAGGAAAGTAAATAGTAGTTATTCAGTTGAAAAAGTTCAGAATGTTACATATCATCAAACCTGGGGTGAACGTCTATTCTTTTCCCCATTTGTATCCCCACCTAAGTTAGACTTAAGGCTAAAAGCTATCAAGAAATAGACCCTCAGACAAACAGAAGTTTGTCCATTCTAATTGTCAATTCTCTTGCTTTTTTTCTTTCTTGACAATCTTAACCCTTTTGATCCCATTGGGCTGTCATCACAGCATCCATTAGGGTGTAGACATATCTAAATCCCAGAGGAAAACCACTTTTCCCTATCACTTCCTTGAAACTTTTTCATATCCCCTATTCTGACTTCATTAGATGTGATTGTTAGGTTTCAAACCCAGGACCCCTAACCCTAACTGTGTTAGCATACAAACAATCAGCTGGCTGGCTCTCAGGGAACTAGCAACTGCTTATATTCTCACCAGCCACAGCCAGGTACGCCTATAAAAGGACCACTAGCCACCCCACATTGACACCCCCACCCACGTGTGTGTGTGTGTGTGTGTGTGTGTGTGTGTGTGTGTATGTATGTATGTATGTATGTATGTATGTGTATCTCCTTTTTGTGCCATGTGCTCTCTTTCTCTGCCTTTGCTCTGTTTCTCTGCATGGCAACTTCTTTGGTCTCGTACAGGATTTCTGAGACTGGTGAACTTGCCTGGGGGCTGTTCAAGTAACGTTGCTTTACGTTTTTTATTCGGCTTGAATTGTCTTATTTCATCAGTGGAGCAAACCTATTAGTAATGTCTAGTTTTTGTCAACCAGAACCTATTTTAGCCCTCCCCACTGATATAATCAGTTGATAAGCACCTGAAAAATGCCAATTACTACCCAGTCTGACTTAGTGAATTGAAATCGTAAGTGGTTCTGAATATTCAACCCATTGCTTTGTATTTTTTGTTTATAGCCTAGAAGCCAGATGTTTAGCACATACAGTAATCAGTGTAACAAGTTATGAGAATATGTGTTTATGAGACTATAAGGACTGTGTGACCTAGTTGAGATGAACATGGGCACTAAGAGGTTAAAGATAAATCAGAAGTGAGCCAAAGATTCAAGATAAATTATTTCATATAGAAATGGAAAGGGCATATTGAGAAATCTTGAAAGGAGACTAGAATGAACAGAATAATGAAAGTTGAGGAAAGAGCACATACATGATGAGACTAATGTTAGGGCATTCTCCAAAAGTTTTAGCAAGAATTTTCATGGCTGTGACTACATGTTAAATTTATCTTATTAATTTACCTGGAATAGCCTGGAAGAAAGTGATAATTACTGACTTATTAAATGTATTAAGCATTATTTTTAATGAAAAAGTTCTTTTAGACAGTCCTAGATTTCCATAAAGGTTTGTACACTACTTTATAAGGTTAAAGTAATATGGTTAAACTAGATAATTATCTCTAGTCTGAAAACCAAAAAGCTCCAAAATCTAAAACTTTTTGTCCTAACACCAGTGGAAAATTCCACACTTAATCTTCTCTGATGGTACATCACAGTCAGAACATAAGGTGCATTAAAAAAGACTATATGAAATTATCTTCTGGAGACTGCTGTGGTTTAATGATAGAGTGCTTCTTAGCCATCAAAAACTCTGTAGTTACCTTTGGTCTGTATGTAGAAGATAAATATGATACATGAATTAATTTTATGTTCTGATTGGATCCTATGTAATATATGCCAGAATTCCCTCAAAGATCAAATCATTGAATAGTTGGACTGCAGGGGGAAATATTGAAAGATTAGAAAAGTTTTCGTACTTAATAGAAATAGTTTGAAAGCAATTTATTAGATGTGTGCAGTTATAGCTTCATATTGTATTATATTGTAATAAGAAAGTTATAGAGTAGAGATTAGAATATTTTCTTTTTAATAGTTATGTAGAGTGATTTTGATTTAAAAAACAATCCTTCAGCTTGGTAAATATCACTGGCTTAGTGTGCTCTCAGGAAATTATTTTTATTGATTTGAATTCCTTGTTCTTACCTGGCTTTGGTCTCCTATAGTGCTTTTACATCTCTTCCAAAGCACAAACCTGGGTTTTGGTCAGATGTGGCTATGGCAGTAGGTACTCGAACTCCTGATGAGTGCCAAAGGAAATACACAGAAGAACCCCAAGGCAAAGGATCACGAAAACATGTCTCTAAGAAAAAGCAAGCCAATTTCAAGGTCCAAAATGGTAACTTTTATTATTGTTTTCTCAGAGTGGTTAGTACAGTGGTTCTCAACCTTCCTAATGCTGCAACCCTTTAATAGAGTTTCTCATGTTGTAGTGATCCCCAAGCATAAAATTATTTTCGTTGCTATTTCCTAACTGTAATTTTGCTACTGTTATGAATTGTAATGTAAATATCTGATATGCAGGATATCTGATAAGTGAACCTTCTGAGAGGATCATTTGACTCCCAAAGGGATCATAACACACAGGTTGAGAACCATTGGCTTAGTGTATACTCATAGCTGTGTACCAGTTATTTTTCATATTTATTCATGAATCTTGTACCATTTTTTTTCTTCAAATTTTAAAATCAAGAACATAAAAGATAAAATATTTTTAAGCCTTAAACAATGTAGGTAATTCCATCAGTAGCAGCTTACTAGTTATTTGCTTTCAATTTGTTCTAAAATGCTTGAAATTGGATAGATATTTCAATATCTGAGGTATAATTTAACTTGAGCATTTGCTTACAGTCCCTGTCATCTTATAAAAACTAATAGATTTTGTTTTTGTAATCTGAGATTTACTCCTATCTGAGGCTGCTAGTAAAAGGTATTCTTTGTCAGAGAAGTCCTATAGTAAGCTTTAGAGGGTACCTAATCTCCTTGCCATAATAACAATAAATCAAGTTGATCTTACAGAATAACTTTACTGGCTTTTCTTTATTTTTCTATTGAACCTAGGGCCTTGTACGTGCTAGACAAGTACTATATGATCAGGCTATATTCTCAAGTCCAGTTGACAAGTTTTGTTGGGGACGGAGGTATTTCTTTTCTTTTTTTTTTTTTAATTAAGGTATTTATTTACTTCACATCCCAGTCACAGCTTCCCCTCTTGTCTCTCCCCGCTAGTCCCTCCTGCTCACCTCTCCTTCCACCCTCCTCTCTTTCTCCTTAGAAAAGGGGAGGCCTCCTGTGGCCAGCCTTAGCATATCAAGTTGTGGTAAAACTAGGTGCATCATCTTCTGTTGAGGCTAGACAAGGCAGTCCAGTTAAGAAAAAGGGATCCAAAGGCAGGCAGCAGTCAGAGACAGCCCCTGCTCCTGCTTTAGGAGTCTCACATTTAGACTCGGCTGCACAACTGTTCCATATGTGCAGATGCCCTTGGTCCTTCCAGTGCATGCTCTCTGGTTGGTAGTTCCACTCTCTGTGGTTAGTTGATTCTGTAGGTTTTCTTTTAGTGTCCTTGACCTCTCTGGCTCCTTCAGTCGTTCCATCTCTTCATCAGGATTTCCCAAGCTCCACTTAATGTTTGGCTCAGGGTCTGAGATGTCCTTACTATGTTCCCTGGGTATCCTGGAAAACACTAAGTATATGGACCACTCTTCGTCTATATAAGGAAATGCATAGGAACTAAGATTCTCACAATAAAACACTTTTAAAAAAGTAAGAGCGTCTCTGGGGAGATGGTTCAGTGGTTAAGAGCACTTGGTACTTTTGCAGAGGAACCAGCCAGGTTCCTAGCACCCAGAGACTTTTAGTTTTATAAAGCAGGTAACATAAATCATCAAAATGTTTTATTGATTCTTAGATGATGAAGATAATGCTAATGACAAGCAGACTATTAAGATAACTGCCAGAGTGGGAACTCTTAAAAGGAAACGGCAAATGAGGAATTGTCTGGAGCAGCTACCAAAAGACAACCATGATGATTTTTTCAGTGCAACACCCTCGAAGAAACAAAGAGTATTGGTAAGAATGCTACCTTTATGAAGTTTGCATTTTTACATTGATTTATGTTTTTCATCTTTATATATTAGTATTTATCAGTAATGTTTAAGTCAAAGATCTATAGCTTTTATAGACATGAACAAAGTATTCAAAGAGATCTGCTGATAATATGCCATTCTTACCAGTTTCTAGTCTATTCTTGAGTGTTTCAAAGAGAATACTGGTATAACCAAAAGAAAAATGAAGAAATAGGCCAAGGACATTGCAAGATAGATGACGTTCAGTTTTCTTTCACAAAGAATGAGCAAAGCAATGGGTAGCCAGGGGAACTTTGAAAGCTTAGACTTTTATGAGCTGCACACCTGGAGACAGAAGTTATAATTCATATAGCTCTAGGGGATAGAGGCCTCTGTTTCTCCATCTCTGGCCCTCACAGATGTCGCCATACTAGAACAAGGGCTCATTCTCACTAAATCCACCAGACCAGCAGTGCAGCTGTTGCTGCAGCACCCAGTGCCCTGCACAGCAGGAAACAGGTGGTCCACCTGTGATAGCTTAAAAGTTCCTGTGTAACAAATGGATTTTTTGTGCTTTGGGATCTGTGTAATTAGCCCACTTAATTCTCATAAAGAACCAACATAAGGCTAGATGGGATGAGTGCTACAAAAGTGATTTTATATGTAGAAAGATTTCCCAAAACTGAAGATATTAAGCAAAATTGCAGGATCTAAAGCCAGCATGTAAGGCTAGGGATATAGCTCAGTGATTGATTACATGTGCCAGGCCCTACATTCTATCTATCACTTCTTAGTGATTTTAACCTTTACATGGGTCCAGGGATTAAACTCAAGGCACCAGGCTTCACAGTAAGGACCTTTACTGGCTGGGCCAGCTCATTGGCCCTGTCTTCTGTTTTTATAAACAAAGTTTTAGTGGAATATAACCATACCGATTGCTTTCATATTGTATATTACAGTTTCATACTGCAAAAATCAGCTTGATTAATTGGGAAAGAGTACATGGATCATAAAGCCTAAAAGCTTTAAATATGCTGAGAAAATACTTGATTACCTCTGCTCTCCATAGCCTTTAGGAATAGGTGTAATTGCCTCTATTTTGCACAAGAGAAATTTGTTTTTGTAGTGACTCTTCTGTGTTCTACTATTTTTAATTATAAAACTTGAAAGAAATTATAGAGGAAAACAATTGAACCCACAAAATTTTGTTAAGTGCTTGGTGAAAATATTTGTTTTCTAGTTGCCAAGTTTCCAATACAGTCAAGATGATGATTTTCTGCTAGATATGGACAGGAATCCTGAATCTCCACCACCAAGCTGTTTGTCATTGACAAACACTCCACAATGTCAGCATGTCAGTCCTGGTATGCTAGCCTCTATACAAAGGTAAATGTGAATGTCATGTTACTTTTTAATATATTAAAGAACATTGAAACATTTTGTGACATAATAAACAAGGGTAAGAGTTATCTTAAATAATAAAGAATAAATAGTTCCTAAAAGTGAAGGATGGATAGTTTCATCAAGTTATGGGTTATCACAATACATAATCTTGGAAATAAAATAATTTTACTTAAAAAATTTTTTTAAAAATCTAGTGAATCTTTGTGGTGTTATACTTTCAGGTTAACAGTTTTTGTAACTCAAATGCAAAGCCCAGAAATCATTAGTGAAAGGATTAATAATTTCATGTTTTACCTGCTATCAATCATTGTAAACAATAGAAACACAATCAGAAAAATGACTGTTCTACTAGGTCTGGAGAAGTGGCTCAGTAGTAAAGAGTATTTAGTGCACCCAACTCAGACAATTCTCACCTCACTCCAGCTCCAGATTTTCCTCTTCTGGCTTCTGTGAGCAGTGCACTCATGTGCATGACCCCCATCCCAACTCCCACATGCACGCATATTTAAAGCTAATACTATAAAATCTTTTTTTAAAAGAATGTAATATAACTTAATACAAAATATCAGTTTCTCTAATATATTTAGTATTAGTGGAAATTAACAATGAAGTAGTATCCTTTTTCATGACATGTTAGTGAAAAAGTACAAATCACTGTGCAGCTGCAGTTTGTTTGCAACTGGTAATATAACCATGAACTTTGACCCAGGAATTCTACCAGTGTTCACTTAGCTTGCTGAGCATGCCTTTCATCCCAGTACTTTGGAATCAGAGATAGACAGATCGCTGAGTTTGAGGACAGCCAGGTCTACATAGTAAGATACTATCTCAAAAATTGATAAGGGGTTTATGGGGGAGGGACTATTTTATCCCAATTTAAAAACTATTCTAAAGTTAAAAACTTAGCTTCTGTTGTTCAAAACAGTCTCTTGGAAAGTAGATCTTTAGGGTGCACATTTGGGTAAACCTGTCATTCACTAAGCAAAATATTACCAGCTGGTGGGTTTATTCATTTTACAGCAATGTTTGTGACTGAGATATGTATCTTAATAAGTAATCACACAAGAAATACAATAATGTAGAAAGAAAAGACTTGCTAAGTTAGATTAGAGCTTGATATAATTGGAAGATGTAAATTGATACCCCTTTTTACTAGGGATAGCCTAAAAGTGACCAACTGATATTTGATTTAGATTAATGGAAGTGAACAGGAAAAAAAGCAAAGATAGGAAGTCGAGAGTTACAGGGAATAAACCTGGATAATGTCTTAGTTACTATTCTTTTGCTATGAAGAGACAGTATGATTATAACTCTTATAAAAGCATTTAATTGGGGCTTGCTTATTGTTTCAGAGATTTAGTTCATTACATGGCAGGAGCATGGTAGCATGTAGGCTGACGTGGTGCTGGAGAGCTGAGAATTTTACATCTGGATCACCAGGCAGCAGCAAGAGAAAGACACTGCCTGCTTTGGGCTTTTGAAATCTCAAAGCCCACCCCAGTCACATACTTCCTCCAACAAGGCTGCACCTCCTAATCCTTCTCATGAAATGCCACTCTCCAATGACTAATCATTCAAATATATAAGAATGTGGGGTCATTCTTACTCAAACCACGACACCAATAAGGAAGTGTAGTTTCCTAGAATATTCTTTTGAGAAAAGTAAATTTTAGATTTTTATTAATTGCTATTCTACATATGGATAGAATTATAATGTTGACTTGACATTTTGTTATTTTATATTCACACAGGGATGACTGTGATAAATATGTTTATTATATGCAAAAAGATGCTAAAAAATATGGCAAAAATAATGGTCACCTTGTCTGGGGCAACATTAGGAAAAAAACAGTAAGTAAATATTATTTGTCCTATGCCTTTCGTAGAACAGTTATAATGCTTGGTAAGCTGTGGTAGTTTGAAGTAGGTAATCTTGAATATTTTACGTAGATGATTTGTGAGTTTACTTATTATGAAAGTAAGTCTTCAGAGCATATATGGCCATCTCTTGTTCTCTTTGAAATCTTTATAGTCCAGATTTTCTTAAGTAAAATTCTCCTTGGATTAGAATTATATAATCATATGCATCCACGTGGCTTAGCCACAAGAAATAGTAAATACTTTAATGGTTTAATGAAACTAGTGGCTCATTTCTTAAATCTGTTTCAAAAGTAGCAGACTGCTTCTCAGTGAGTTTTAGATAACTTGTTTTTTACAGTTCCTTATGCTTTAATGAGAATGAAACAGACATTCTTAAGATTATGATGCCGTAGACTTGAGAGATTTGTTTCTAATAATCCATGTGTGATGTCCATTCTGTTGATCCATGCATGGACCATGGATCAGCACAGCAAATTAATACACTTGACTGTTCCCTCTACTTAATGAAAAGAGGTAAATTTTGATAAATCTTTGGGTCCTTCCTGTTAGAAACACATCTTTCTTTTTCCTTCCCTTCTCGTTTTTTTTCTTCCTTCTTTCCTTTCTTCCTTCTTTCTCCCTCCTTCTCTCCTTTTCTTCCTTCCTATGTTTGTTTTTGAGACAGGGTTTCTTTGTGTAGCCCCATTTGTCCATGAATTCTCTTTGTAGACCACATCATACTAGTCTCTCACTCAGATATCTGCCTGCCTCTGCCTCCCAAGAACTGGGATTAAAGAGACTAGAAGTTAGCACCTGTTTGATTATTTTTAATGTTAAAATTGAGCAATGTACAAAATTTACTGTTTTTTTAATAATATGGTATCTGTACAGTGTTGTTAGCATGGAAAAAGCAAAGGATTTTGTGTGAAGTACTCATTTCAAGATCTAATAATCAGTAGCAGCCTCAATACACTAAACAAGCAATTTAGACTTTTCTAATCTATGATATTTGGATAATGACAATGGTACTGAGTGGTTATGAGAAGTAAATGATGTGCTATTGTGATTACCTCATCTCACAGGGATAATAATAAGGCATCTAAACCAAGATATTAAATTAGTACTGATTACATTTTGGCCATCTTTTATAGGCTACAGATATTATGTTTGCCTTTCTGTAGCATTAGTTTATAATATTATATACATGTTTGACAGCAGTGAAAAACGACAAAAAGTTATGGGTTTTGCCATGGATAAACTCAAAAAGAATTTGTTTGCTTTAGTGACTGAAGGTGATGTAACAGTCGTATATTTAAAGTATCATAGTGATTAGAGGATACTCGATTTCATCTAGGAGGCATCATAGAAGGCACAACTTTGCTAATAACATGCATTCTATTACAGGTTGAGTGTGGTCTCTCATCTCCAACACCAAAACGAAAAACCCTGTTTAACAAAGGTATTCTATTTATTTATTTTGTAGCTTAGTTCCATTATAATATAATCTTTATTTGATGGTTTTAAATGTAACTGCTTCTCAAATAGAGGGACCTATCATTTAGTTCCTTGGAGTTGTTTTAAGTTCTGTCAAAATGACTGGAAATGTATTTATCCTATTCATTAAATTTGTCTTTACAGATTTAGGTGAAGACTCTGGTATTGCAAAGTATTTCATTGATGCCGAAGATACAGACGAAGAAGAAATCGATTATTATTTTTCAAATTCGGACTGATAGTAAATACAATCTTATCATTAGGCAGAGTACACTCATCTTATGACATGGTATTTTCTTTGTAATTAAGGAATGCAGATTTGTCTCTCTGAGATGTCTTAGGTTTATATGTAATATAAACACCCTATAGCGCATTCCTCAGTGTTACAGCTTACAAGTCAAATATTTTGCCTGTGTGTATGTATTTTATTTTTGTAATACTAAAAAATATAAAGCTGTCTCTTGAACCAATCCAAGTCTGTTTACTTTAATAATCATGTCTCAAATGGACTTTTAAATAAAAATTTAAAAACCCTTAAATGAGGAGAGATAAGGGGCTGGAGTTAAAGAGTTTGGACTCATGGATACTGGAATGAAAACTTTCATCATCATGCCACCTGATATTATAACCCTGAGTTCATCAAGTGTTTATGTCATTCAAATTCTTTTACCTTTTTTAATGTTGTACGTGCATGCTTTTTCTTCTGATATTTTTTCTTAAAATTTTTACGATAAGTTGGTCTGTTTTTAAACCCTCTCTTATTGTTCTTTACCATATTTTAAAGAAAGCCAGAGGGTCGGTTCTGTTGAATTCTACAGCTGTGTAATGTGTAAGTTGATAGAGCCACCATTATAAGGAAAACTTTCAGAAAGGTTTTCCCTTTCTGACAACTAACTTTTATTTGCTGTTTACAACATGTTCATCTCCCTTTGTATCCAGTTCGACTGCTCAAATAAAAATTTAACTTTGTGAAGTATTTGTTTTTGCATTTTTTTTTTTCTTTTTAAACTGATCAGAAAAAGAAAATGTTATTTTGTACTGCTTCCTACTTTATTTCCTAAAACCACACTGGAACATATAGTACAAATAACATTCATTCCTTTTGTTCTAGTCTCTCTTCTTCCCTGTCAGGGTCTCGCTGTATAGACTGGCTCCCTGGAGCTCACTATGCAGAGCAGGCTCTTTTAAGCCAGTTCCTAGGCCTGGTGCTTCAGTCATGTAATTAATACCATCTACTCAGGAAACAGGTAGGAGGAACTCCCAAGTTTGAGGCCAACCTTAATTTTGTCTCAAAAACAAAATTAAGGGTGTGGAGATGGTTCAGCAGTTGAATACTTGCTGTTCTTGTAATGGACATGAATTTTGTGCCCACCATCTCTGTTATACCTGTAATTCCAGTTCCAGGAGATGAGTACTCTTCTGGCTGTCACAGGTACCTGCACTCAGATGTGCACAAACACACACACACATACATAAACACATAAACTAGAACATGAATGTTTTTAAAATATTAAACAAAATGAAGTTCTTAATAAGTGGTGGGAGGAGGCTAGAAATGGCTGTTACCATGCAGAAAGTACCAGGTTCAATCTCCAGTAATATCTGCACCAAACAACCAGCTAGTTATTGGTAGCTGTAGACTGTTTCATTCACTTCAAAGAGAAATTTGAGTGAATTGTCAGCATTTAACATGATGCTATGCTGGTTGAGGTTAATAGGTAGTGTTTAGAAGGCCATTAAATCTGCTTTACCTAAACTGAATAATTGCCATGTATGGATTTGGATCTGAGAAGTAATTGCTAATTGCAGAGCAGCCAATGTTTCTGAATACTTTTCTCAGGTTTTAAAATTACCTCAAATAAGCTACCTAAGTAGCTTATGTAAAAAGTTTGTTTCTGGGTTTTGTTCCTAGATTTGACAGTGTAAATATGAACAAGCTACTTGTTTCAAGACACATTTTTATGATCCGATTAGATGAGTTCTGAAGTTCCTGGCATGTAAGATGAGGGGAGCACTCCTAAGACTTGTCAACCCCTACTCACAAGGAGAAAGCGTGGAAGCAGGGAGAGCCACTGACAGAAGATTCTCACACTGCAGATACAAACAAACAGGGAAGCCCATCATAAAACACGGTATAAGATGAGCCAAAACAAAAAAAGTTCATGGTAAATATTGGACGACTTGGATACATCTGGTGGGAATGATACATTTAATTAAATATTTGACCTTAATTATTAGATCATTTGTCTCGCAACTTCCCCAAATTTTACTCAGTATTATTGAGATTTAACACCTTTATCATCTATTTTAATGTTTGTGTATGTATATGTATGTGTGTGTGTGTACAATGTCAGTGCACTGCCTAAGGAGGCCAGAGATACTGATACACTGAAGCTGGTGTTGAAAGGGTTAGACTAACTTTGTAACCTGTATGTCTTCTAAAGCCTATAGTTTTGAGTTTTAGGTTCAGGTTAAGCTAAAGCCTCTTAGTACCTTTCCAGAGAATGGAAAAATGTGACCCTATCTATGAGGACAGATAGAAAAAAAGGCAAGCAAGCAATGTCCTTCACTCAGCAAAAAGAAAAACTCCTGTCTTTGAGATAGCATTTCTTAGCAACAAACCTAGACTTCTTCTGAGTAGCTTTTGACCTCCAGCCAAAAGTCTGCAGCCCCTAATCTTCAAGGATGAGCTAACCACCCCCACCTTCAATTGCAGCTGCATCCACACTTGGCAGGACTGGCCAAGCTTGAGCACCTAAGACTAACCAATTATCTTACTTTATAGCTTCCTCATCCAATCCTAAATTGCCAAGACTGCAACTTCAAATCTCCTGCAATTTTTCTTTTAAAAACCTAAAGGCCTTTGTCTCCTGGTGCCACTCTTTGCTGACCGCAGGGGTGACCCCATTGCGCAATGGTTAATAAACCTCTTGCTTTTGCAATGAGTCTTGGTCTGGGGGAGTTTCTGGGAAGGGTGTGATCTTGAACTCCTGAGCTGTGAGACCCCAGGTCTTACAGTGTCAGGCAGTTGTACGCCACCTGATAGGGGTGCTGGGTCTGCAAGATATTGTGTGTCCTTCACCTCAGCCATCTCTTCAGGTTCTACACTTAAGATATTAAATATTACAATTCATATACAGCACAACTTATTTATAAATACTTCTTAACAGTCATGCTTACCAGTTATAGATCATAGTACTTATTCTTGGAAAAATTCCAAAAATAAATGTGCTTTTGTTTGTAGCTGAGGCTAGCCTCAAACTTGTGCCTAGTGCCTTGGCTTACAAGGTATTGGTCTTTTAGGTGCATATCATCAGTCAGCATACTCATCCATTCTGTGTATGTATGTAGATGTGTACACATGTGTGTGGTTGCCAGAGACTGGCTTGGGGTATTTTTATCTATCACTCTTCATCTTATTTTTAGACAGTTTTCCATTGAACCTGGAGCTCCCCAATTCTGACACACTGGTTAGCAAGCTCCTGAGGTCTTCCAGGCTCTGAAGTCCTAAGGACTGTGGTTCCAGGTGTGCACCACTGTATCCTGCTTTTACATGGGTACTGGGGACTGTCTTAGGGTTTCTACTGCTGGGAAACACCATGTCCAAAAATCAAGTTGGGGGAGGAAAGGGTTTATTTGGCTTACACTTCCAGATCATGGTCCATCATTGAAGGAAGTTCATCACGACAGAAACTCAAGCAGGGCTGGAATATGGAGGCAGGAATTGATGCAGAGGGCATGGAGGGGTGCTGCTTCCTGGCTTGTTTCCCATGACTTGCTCAGCCTGCTTTCTTATAGAACCCAAGGCCACACAGTGGCACTACACACAATGGGCTCAGCCCTCTCCATCAGTAACTACTTACAGCAGATCTTATGGAGGCATTTTCTCCTTTTAAAAACAATAAATTATATGGTCTATAAATAAAAATATATACAATATAAAGATATCTTTAAGAGATGAAATATTCACATATTTTACACTGGTAATCACAAAAGTACAATGATTCTTGAAGTACATTTAATGTTGTGAGAGTTCTTTCATAGTCATTCTTTGAGTGCTGAGCATGTATCTGATTTCATTCTATCCTGGTTAAGATCACTTGGCAACATGTGCATGTCAAATACATAATGAATATATCTATAGATCTCCTCAGCCTTTTGATGAGTTACTTGTGCACACGTAGAGATTTCTTTAGGTGAACTGAAAAGAGAAAAACAAGAAAGTGAACTTAGCTTTTATGAAATTAGTATTTTCATCATGCCTTTGGATAGATGGAGTAAAACACTTGCCTAGCAGGTAGAAGGCATTTCACTCAGCAGCACACACTCAAAACCTCCTCTTCCATTATGCGCCTAGTTAATATGTCCTTAGTATTAGTTAAACAGCACAAAATCTGTTTTCTTTAAACATTCAACAGTATTCTGGGCATGGTGGTGCACTCCTTGAATCCCAGCACTTGGGAGGCAAAGGAAAGCAAATCTCTGAATTTGGAAAAGCATGGTCCAAGGCTACATAGTGGAACCATCTCAAACAATCATACAACAGCTTAAAACTTTAGAGGTACACTGGAGTAAACATCTCTGAAATCTTCCTCCAAATATTCATCTGTAGAGACCTGAAGCTGAGACTGGCAGTACTGGAAGACTGAACCTTTAAAAAGTGGGGACTTTGGGGAGAAGTCCTTAGTTGACTAGGACTGACATCTCTTAGGAGGTGTGCAGGTTTTTACTGTCAACTTCACAGGGAAGCTATACCCACAATCCCTCAAAACCATCACTGCTTAAACAACATCTAAAGAAGTAAATAGCAATAGACATATTAACATGGGAGGGGAAAAACATCTCTGGGCCCTACCCACAGACAAAGAACAATAGTCAATTAATGAGGACACAAAGAGGGACAATTAGTCTTTTCCAGGGATGGGCCCCTGGGTTATTCAATACCAAGCGGTCAGTCCTGAAGTCATACACACAAGTAACAGATTCAGCAGGTTGCCTTTATATTGTTATGTGTATGTGTGTAACAATAGTAAAGACCATCAATATGAGAGTGAGAGGTTACGAGGATAGGAAGGAGGAAAGGAAATGGAGGAAATGATACGATTACATTTTAGTTTAAAAACAGACTACCAACTTTATTAGTAACCAGAAAAATGGGAGTTTAAGACACAAGATTTTACACTCATTATGTGAACATAATAAATATGATAAAAACAAGGAAAGAATAATAGAGTATACACACGGAAGAATAAGTACAATAACCAAGACAATTCCAAGAAATACTAGTCATACATTCTTAAAATACCAACTCTATGGATAATAAGCATGGAGAAAGGAGAATCTAGGTGTAAAGGCAAAGAAAACATTTTTCCTGGATTCAGAGCAGAGGGACTGCCAGCATGGGTAAAGGTGTCTGGCGCAGAGCCTGACCACTTGGGTTTAATCCCCGAGCCTTCACATGGGATAGAACCAACTCTCAAAAGCTGTCCTTTGACTTTGCTGTGCAAACTCTGGTACACGGGGATACACATGCATGCATGGGTTGTTTTTAATTTGCTCAGATGAGGGGATGAGATGAGGGCCATTCCCAATCCTTCCTAGCTCTTTCTGAACCCTCAGTGGCTGGTTCAACTCACCTGTTCTGGCCCAATCCTGACTGAATTGCTCTGCCTGGCCTCAACTTATTCTGGCAATATGCTTTAATCTTCTGGCTCCTTTTCATTCTCTTGCTCATTCTGTCTTCAGCTGTATGTAGCTTGTTCTCTCTGCAACCTGTCTCTATAAAACTGCCCCAATTAAAAACTCTCGGTAAAAACAAACCTTCCTCTATCTCCCTGTGCTGCTCTAAAGTAGTCTCTCTTTCCTGTCCCATCCTCTTTAGAGTTCGGTATATCCTATTTGTGATTCATTCTGCCTGCCTCTCAATTAGATGTCACTTTCAAACATGGCTATTTCCTTCTAGAAACTAAACTTACCTCTACTGTTTGGGATTAGGGGTATGTACTAAGGGCATGTCTGTATTCTATCCAGAAGATATTGTAATCCAAACAAAGCATGTCTGCATTCCTGCCAGATCACACAGACTAGAAGGTCTTTGGATGTGACTTCTTGCCAGAGCAGCCATGTTACTGAATTAAAATTCCTCTACAACACACACACACACACACAAATGAAATAAAAAAAAAATAGTAACCATTTGAAAATACTAATGAAAAAGACATACCTGTTAGCCATCTTTTTCACTGATGAGAACTGGTGACACATATTTAGGGCAGTTATGTAACTCACACTGGGAATACTTAAGTAGAACTGAAGCGCCTCACATTTACTATTAGTTAGCACTGCAGGAGTATGAATACCAACATTCTTTCTTTGTTCTACCAGTGATAGCTCCTTTAGTAAATCTGCAGTTTCTTCTTGTCCAGAGCTGAAGAGGATTCGGATTCCAGCGCCAACTAAGGTGGTCAGAAGACTGTCATAGCACTTCGTTCTTCTAAACATTCTTGATGTGTCTCCTAAAAATTTCATGTTCAGGGAAAAATGAAGCTTAGTGACTAAAATCAGGGAGAAAAAAATTCATATACTTTATTAGAATTCTAGCTTCTCATCACTGAGTTAATGAGTGGTACCTTTTACTAATGAGAAACTACAATTAAGCTTTAAGGAGATTCTCCAATATCTGGTCTGAAATTAACTTACAAAAAAGCTCAGTAAATATTGGATTAGTTAGTTGATGTAAAATTGTGTATTTATTCCAGTGACTGAAAAAATATGTGGAGGACCTCCTAATGTTATCATTCTTTACCTTTCCAGTTCACTTCCTTTTCTTATATTAACAATTTTTTGTAATAAAATTTTTCTTATATAATTTTATAAAATATAAAATAATTTTATAATTCCTCATTTTAAATTTCTTATATTTCCCATCACTTCTACCACATTACTTTTGCTTTGTTTTAAACTAGTTTCTTCGTGCCTCACTCTTCCACTTAGGAGAAAAATAAGGATAAAATTCCTGCAAGATAAAAAGGGACTTATCCAAGGTACAAGATAATAATTCACCAATGACAGCACAAGGAAGGAAACTGTTGCCCAATTTCCAAACCAATGTTTACACAAACCACTATTTCCTTTTACTTAATTTTTCCAATATTTCCATAATAGTTTTCAACAATATGGCTTTATTTCATCCTCATAACCCCATGAAATGTGCAGGGCAAGCAAGCATCTTAGCAACACTAATATACTTGTTATGCGGAGGCAATGGTTTGTCACTGAAATACTTACAGAACTGTAGAGAAACCAGAAATCAGTGCATCTTGTGGTGCTATATCCCATGATCTTTTCACTCTTCTCCACAGGTCCTTCAACAATTAAGTTATTACCAGAGACATCTCCTGGCTATAATTCCAATCCTGCATTCCTAACTGCAGCTTAGGCCAACTATTTTAGTAACTCAGGTAAATCCAGTCTTACCACCTTCAGAAGGAACCCTCCTAGCCCCACTCATGTACCCGTTCACTATACTCACAATTATAACAAATAACACCATTACCTTAATGCCCTGTAATAAAGAAGCTGTTCAGTCTGGTGGAATTCTCAGCCCTGTCCACCAAGCCTACGCTGACTCCTAAGCATCTGAGCCCTCTTCTCCCCGAGGCTGCACTGTTTAAGGAATTCACCACCCTTTCTAATGTGCCTGGAGCAGGCTTATGATTGGTCTGCTTTGCCTTCGGTTTCTCACTGTTCAGTAATCAGAAGCCTCATTGAAATATGATAACTAATGAAAAACATAATGATATTAAGTATGAAGTGACACATCCTGTCAGCAGAAGAATGAAGTAACAGTCAATTCTGTTTACAGTCCTATAAACATTTGGAAATGCAAACCTGCTTTTTGTCTGTCTTTTTCCACAATGACACATATTCTCTGAAACATGCTCTGCAGGCGCTGGATCTGCTCGATGAACTTGTTCTTGCCGCTGTTATTCAACATTTCAGACTGAGACTTCCTTTCCACAACCATGCGGCTACTTACGATGTAATCACAGCCGTTGAGAGGACAAACCTCTACTTGTAACCCGTGAACTGTTCTTAGCGAAGAAATTACTTCTAAACCGGAAGCGATTTCACGACTGTCTACAAGAATGCAAGCTCTACTGCCTTCCTGTGGACGTGTAGGGGCTGGGTGGCCCTCAGACACGGGCAGCAGTGAGTGAGAAGAGGGTGCTGCCGGGACGCCACTCTCCTCATGATCATCGACCTGAAAGGGGGGAAAGCACAGCTCAGAGTCCAGCTGAATGTGCATCAGAACCGCGAGTGTCACACAGGAGGCCGCTTCTCCCTACTGAAATTATTCGTTACTTTGACCTCACCCTGATGAAAGTTACGATGGATAAAACAAGCTACCACTCCAACAATTCAAAGTAAAGTCATGGCTGGCAACAAACAATAGGAATAGGAAGACATGATATCTTTAGTGAAATCTAAAGCCAGCAAGGAAGAAAATAAGTCTTCAAGGAAAAAAATGTACTTTTTAAGCTAGAGGAAAAAAAAAATGTTAACATGAAAGCAGTCTGAAATGTATCTTGGGAATAAGGACTTTACACAAGATATTACTGAAAGACCACATTTCCTTCTACAGGAAAACAAACCTTAAATATATGTTTGAGTCTCTTTTTTTCTGTAGTAGTGAACCCAGGGCCGCTTGCATGCTAGACAAAGTGTTCTACCAGTAAGCTATACTCCTCACCCTTAAATAACATTTTTTTTCTTTTTCTTTTTCACTTTTTCATTTTTTCAGGGAGGGGTTGAGGTGGTAGTGGGGACTGTCCCAACGCCTCATGCACACCTGGCAAGCACGGTCCCACTGAGCTGTGTCTAAAGCCCACCAGTGTCATTTTAATCTGGTTGCAGAAATTGTATTATCACATGACGTGTCCAATGGTGCATGCTCCGGTGCACAATGAAGATCACAGGGCAATTCGGAGTCAGTTCTTTCCAGCTACCTTTCCGTAGGAACCAAGACCAAACGCAAATACCCACGCCGGCGTGGCAAGTACTTTTACCCACTGGGCCATCTCACCCAACCCTAGCAAGACGTAAAAGAAAACCTCATGTGTATGCGTATGTGCCTGAGTGTATGGATGCGCACCCCAAGTGTGCAGGTGTCCGAGGAAGCCGGGAGGGGGTGTCTGAACCCCTCAAACAGGAACCGCTGAACATGGAAGCTGGGAACTGACCCTGGGTTTTCTTCAGAAAACAAGTGCTCTTGGCTACTGAGCTCTCTCCAGCTTCCCAGTGGCACCCGAAAAAAAATCAGAGTTGCCGATGTCGCCTAGCGTTAGGGCACAAATCTAGTACATGCAGGCTCCAAGGTTCAGGTCCAGCCCTATAGAGAAAAATTACACGCACAGCTAACTGACAAGCGTAGAGGCCAGAAACAAAACTAAGAGCCCTGGAAGTGAACTGAGCCAAAACAAACCCAAATTCTCTCAGTAGAGCCATCTGACAAATCCTGCTCAGACTTTCTTTATATAGAAGGGATGTATGTGCCCACACCTCTGCCTTTAAAACAAAAAGTAAGATAAACAAATAAACAATTTGGTGTAAACGATAATTCTATTACATGAAGGTAGAAAGCTAGAACCAGTTAGGCGGAAACAGGGAATCTTCTTAAAATCTGATCTAAAAATGAACCATTAGCCTAGTCAGACTGAAGCCAAAGCATATACAATACCTCACAGTGGACAAAATCCTTCAATAAATAGCTTCAAGTGTTCTCCAAAAAGAAATGTACATGGTTGTCATGTGAGTAGACGGAACTATACCAAACCTTGCTATAACAGGAAAAAGTCCACCATGGAACTATATGTTAGTGCCATTTCTCATGAGCTAGATTAGTCTCTGTTAATGAGGTTCTAAGCATGAATCCTAAATTGCTTATAGAAACAAACAAAAAACCCAATGGAGAAGTTAGAGACATCTGTCACATTGCGTGTGCATTTGCCTTTTATAGTAACACCACAGAACACAATTCATCCCAAAGCATCACTGGGCAAGACAAGAGGGTACACATGAGTATCCTTATAGAACTATGTATGAGAACTAAAGGCCTGGTGAAGCTAGCACATGCCTTGCATGCCTTTAATTCCAGCTCTCAGGAGGCAGAGTTGGCAGAGGATGGAGAGAGGGCTCTGAGTTGGAGACCACCTTGGTCTATAGAGTGAGTTCCAGGACAGCCAAGGTTACACAGAGAAGTCCTGTCTTGAAGGGAACTCCCCACCCCCACCCCAAATCACAAAAACCAAAACCAAACAAAACATATAAAAGAATTAAAGGGGAAAAAAAAAAAAAAAACCAAAAAGGATTGTCTGGACATGGTGGTAGGTCCTAATAGTCTCCCAGTACTTAGCCTGAGGCAGGATCAGAAGCTTGACGACAGCCTAGACCACACAATGAGATGCCATCTCTAACAAACAAAAACAAAAAAACGGCCAACCAACCAATCAATCAAACAAAACCCCCAAAACTGAAAAACCCAAAAGCAAAAAGAACGTGTCTCAAAACCTCAAAGGCTGGAGATGTAGCTCAACAGCAAAATACTAGGTTTGACCAAGAACAACACACACAAGCAGGATGAAACATTAGGAACAACCCAAATATACATTAAATATACATTAAATGGCTGAAATATATTATATACTCCTATAATGAGGATTATAGAGATAATATATATCTACTGTAGTGTAAACCCTAGGATGGGGATTTAAATGAAAAGTAAACTGGAGACAAGTGTACATTGAACGCTACTGTCTATTTAAAGGATATTAAAAGTATAAATGAATCTTCCTATGTGTTTCATAAAATGGAAATACAAATGTACATATATTTTAAATTATTTCCTTTGTATAAGAGAAGAGGATATAAAAAGAGAAACTTTGAATTTATTTTGTATATTTAAATTTGCGACCATATAAGTCACATGAGATTTTAATTTAAAAGAATCCATAACAAATGAAAAAAAATCTTAAATATCCAGCTGACCAAGCAGTCAGTAATTTGTAAATAACTATGATTTCTTTAAATGGGAAGAACTGCCATGCTCAAAAATTCACACACTGATTTCATTAGCTGTATGTACTGTTTTATACTGTGGGTGTGTGTGAAAACTGTGTATGTGAGGGCAGAGAGCTGGTGACACACATGGGTGTGGGTCAGTGGACAAATCTCCTTCCACCACGGAGAAATAACATATCTTGTTGGCTTTGCCATGCTGCACACTCCAGGAGAGCTTTGGGGGTAGTTCTCTTGTCTCTGGGATTAGAGATGGCAGCTTCATCATCCGACTTCTTTGGGCCCCAGGCATCAAACTTATGTGGTTAGGTTTGTGCAGCAAGCACTGTTGCCTGCTGCGCCATCTCCCCCAGTCAGGAATGTTCCACACTGATGTGAGCTATGGGACTATCATTCTGAAGCTGCCATGTGATGATAAAAGCTTCCTAGACTTGACCACTGAAAAGGCCTAGAAACTTTAATCCAGAATCAGAGACCAGAACTGCAGCAAGTTGGAGAAGCAGTTGCTTTTAGGTCCATGGAAATGTTAAAGACTGTCTTGCCTTATCTGCCAACCATACAACAAAGATGAGCACTCCTGTGCTGCCCTGGCTGACCGCAAATGTGCAATCCTGGCAATCCTGGCTTAGCTTCCAAAGTGTTGGGATGGCAGGAGACCACTGTGTCTAGATAATCATTCACTGTTGACTCCAGCATTGAAATCACCTTTTCCACACACACTAAAATTAGCAATATAAGAGAGAACAACGTGGGAGGGGCTCACAAGGCCCCACCCCAACCTGAGACTCTAAAGGCAGTTAATGTTTGCTGAGGGAAAAACGAGACATTTTCTGCAGGGTAGCCATCTGTGCCCTTACAAATAATCTCTCAGCCATGCTCCCGAAGTGACCCTAATGAAATTCATCAGTTCACCAAATATTAAAAAAGACATAAAAGCTGACGTGAAGAAAAAGGCACCAGGTGTGTTGGCACACAACTTGAATCCCAGCACTTGGGAGGCAAAAGCAGTTGGCTCTCTGTAGTCTACAAAGTGAGTTCCAGGACAGCCAGGAATAAATACTGGCTGTCCTGTATTTATAAATAAATAAAGACAACACAGATAAATCCTGTCTTGTAAAACCAAAACCTTTCTTCTTGCACTTGGGAGACAGAGGCTGGAAAATCTCTGTGAGTTTGAAGCCACTCTGATCTACCAAACTAGTCTTGGACAGTGAAGACTAGCTACACAGAGAAACCCTGTCTTGAAAATCTAAAAAAGAAAAAAGAATCTAATGAACATCTATGTGCTAACAAACTGGACAACCTAAATGGTATAGATGAGTTTCTAGAAAGAGCTGAATTGGCGGAACTGACTGAAGAATCAACAAAGATCTTACAAGAGCTATAAAAAGGAGAGATGTAAAAAGTAACCAAAACCCTCCTACCATGCCTGGCAGCAGACAGCTTCATTTATACAAGAAGTATTGTCACGCTGCACTCTTGTCTCAAAAATTGAGGACAGGGTTTCTGAGTTTGTTCTACAAGATCAGCATCTATGAAGCCAGATGAAGACCCCAAGATAACCACAACCTGTATCTTTTATGAATTCCAATGCAAAAATTTTCACAAAACATTGGCAAATCAGAGCCAGATGTGGCGCCATCCACCGGCAACCCCTAGGCCAGCATGGGCTAATGAGTGTGACACAAGTCTGGGCTACAGAGCAAGATCCTAGGTTAAACAAATCAACAACAGCAGCTATTACTGCAACCAGTGCAGCAGGCTGGACATCATTGCCTGCGAGAGCTTTATTAATGTAGTATACACGTGTGTGATAGGCACATCTGTGGGTATACGTGGGCCTGTAAACCTGCAGAAGCTACAAAGACCTCAAGTGTCCTGTTTGGTCACTCTCTGTCATGTTCTTTCCTATGACAACACCTCTCACTGAACCTACGGTGAGGCTGGCGGTCAGCCTACCCTGGTTCAAGAATGAGGCTGATCTAGGATACAGGAGACCCTGTTTCAAACAAAACAAAACAAAACACTATTTTCTCTTTGATTGAGCTACTTGGCACACGTGCATGTGCGTGTACACACACACAAGTACACACACACACACACACACACACACAATCAACCCTTTTAGAAACCATTTAATGACACTTGTCTTCATTTTCATACATACCTTCAACTGAATTGGATGTTCCCCACACTCCTTCCTTGACTCAACCCTAGTAGATGGCGGGGAAGTAGATTTGATTCTATTATGGCTCTGAGCCTTGAGGTCCAACACTTCAGGAGTGGTATCCATTACGTCCGGTACCCCCTGCTGTCCCAGCTTGGGTGACCGGCTCACTGTTGGATTGGAAAGGACCCTAGGCTGCAGTGAAGACCCGGAAGGCCCTAAACCGCAATGCCGGCTCTGCTGTTTGTGCTTGTCAGTAGTCCTGCCATCAAGACCAGAGCCTTCTCTGTCATTCACAGTGTTGTCCTCCTCACTTGAATCATTGTCTGGAAGGATAATTCTAGATAATTTCCTCTTTGGCCGTATGCAGTTTTGTTTTGTGCTCATTTGTTTGAGCTTTACTGCATATCGGGTTTTGTACCTTATGTTCTCATCTGTAAAGGAATCTTTTGTTAAGTTGAAATCAACACAAATTTCTTCTTCACTTGATTGACTTTTGCAAGACTCCTCTTCATCAACGCAAAAACTGTCCTCTAAATAGTTTTCATCTTGCTCAGGAATCTATAATAAAAACAGGCAGAAATATTTAAATTTATGACTAGTCTGTATTTACATTCCTTTAAGGAACTAATTCTTATTCCATTCAGTGACTATCTACTAAGTACCTTCATTTTGTGGGGGAAAAAATAGGAAGGAAGGAAGGAAGGAAGGAAGGAAGGAAGGAAGGAAGGAAGGAAGGAAGGAAGGAAGGAAGGGAGGGAGGGAGGCAGGGAGGGAGGGAGGGAGGGAGGGAGGGAGGGAGGGAGGGAGGAAGGGAGGGAGGAAGAAAGAAAGACAAAGAAGGAAAGAAAGAAAAAAGCAACATTTTACTCTCTAGAAATTTATACACAGCCAGAAAAGTACATCAGAAAAACTTGTGGCAAGTGTTACAGAATAAGCACAACACTCAGGATAGAGATGTGAAAAGCTATATTATCAAGCGGAACATGGCAAATTATGGAGAGAAAATATGACCTGTATATGAAAGTTATCTTAGCCATGCATGGTGCCATGTGCTTGTAATCACATCCACTTGCAAGACTAAAGCAAAAGGTCTCAAGCTCAAGACCAATGCATGTATAGAGGTTACAGCTCAGAGGTAAAGCTCTCTTGCCTAGTATGCGGGAGTTACTACGTATGATCCCCAGTACTGTATTCAGTAAGTAAATAAAGAGCGCATCCAAAATCTAACAACACGTCAGCACCCAGAGGAGGCAGGGGAGTCTTGGGTTACAGGTGTCACTGTGGATTCATAGCAAGTTTGGCTACACGGTAAAATCCTATCACAAACGAAGAAGTAAAAGATCTATCTGTAATTTCTAGAAACATTTTTATGAAAGAAGAAAACATTTTCAAAGAAGTATGACAGAAGAAAAAAATAATAACCAGTAGATGATCAAATTCTATTAATTTCCTTTAAACTAATTCTCCTAGTTGGAAAAAAAAATAATCACGGTGAAATTATCCAAGCCAGCTCCTACTTCCTAAGTTTAGAAACAACATTGAAGCTTTATTCTTAGAACTGTATTTCAAATCACAATCAAGAAATTCTCTATTATCTCTACAGTGTGTACCTGTGAAAAAATGTTCATGTTGTTATGTTTCTCACGGACCATTTTATACTTATTATTCATCAATGGACTGCGTACAGATTCCATGTAAATAGCTCTCATTTCAGAATCTGTGTAAACATAAGCATTAAAAACAAAGTAGCAAAATCAGTTACATGAAAATTTTCATTTAACTTTGACAGCTCCAAATTTACATGGCTCAACATTAAGAAAAAGTTTATAGAGAAGATACACACACACACACACACACACACACACACACACACACACACATACACGTTTGCATGTATAGATCAGCTTGGGCAAATCCATCTCATTACTCCAGAAATCGAGGCAAGAAAATCTCTGCCTATATGACATCTTGGATATGTAGCAAGTTAGAAGCCCATCTGAGCTACATAGTGAAATCCTGTTGTAAAACACTAACAAAAAAACCAATGGATCCATTTATAATTTCTAGAATAAAATTTTTAAGAAAAATTAAATTTTAAAAGAAATATGATAAGAGAGAGTCCTAAAAATAATTATTTAAAATGCTGTCAGATGTGAATAGCTATATTATCAAGCGGAACATGGCATCTTATGGATAGAGAATAGGATAGGCCTGGTGGCACACGCTTTTTAATCTATCAGGAGGCAGAAATAGGCAGATTTCTGTTAGTCTGAGGTCAGCTTGATGTATAAAGTGAGTTCTAGTAAACATAGTGAGAGCCTGACTTTAAGAAAAAAGTAATTAAAAACACCTCTCAAAATAATAAAGCTGCTACTGCTGAAAGTTTTGCCTTTGAAAAATCATTGTCTAGCTGGGTGAAGAAAGCCATTCAACAGTGGATTCACAAAGCCAACTGGGGAAAACACTAACCTTACTAAGTTCATCAGATAAGGAAGGTCCGCTTTCCGGAAGCAATGTTGGAAAGTAACCTTTGAGCGTGCACAGTGCATTCAGAGTGGATGAGCCAGAATGGCGAAGTGAGAAATGTTCTGATTGGCTCATCAATATTCTGGCCTTTCAGATATCAGGTCTATGTCATTTATTCTGTTTCTGCTCTGGTACAACTTAAACTAGCAAAGTTTCCCAGGGACTACGAGTTTAAAGGAAAAAAAAATTGTTTTTGGATAAATTTCTCCTTTCTATATCTTGGATTCATTGTCTCCAGAATAAGGTTCAGTGCCTTCTGAGCTCAGTAATGTTTGTGGCTTTTGCAGATTTCAGTAAAAAAATTTGAAGGCCGTCAGGCAGCAGTGTCCCTGGAATACACAAGGACTAGCTTCGTAGGACGGAAGCAGGGACCTGGAAGGAAAGTAGAAGCACAGATATTTTGGCATTGTCAGGACAGTATCTTTAAAGCAGGAGGATGGCTAGAGGGCAGCACAAACAGTGTGGCTCTGTAAGGAGTCCTGCCCAGCGGGGGGAGACAGAGTAGATTCTGGGCAGGAAAGCTTGCAGGGTTCTAGGGGTGGAGGAGCAGAGTGGACAGGTAGACTTCTGCTGCATAACTGAGAAGATGCAGTGGTTTGAACACAGAAGAGAGACACCTACTCTCTACTCAGGCACAGCAACTTTCAAAAAAAAAAAAGATTTCAAAGCTTTTTTAAAAGAAAGTACAGAGAAATTCTTGTTATTTGCTATGGCTCTTAAAAATGGTATCAATAAATTAAAACCCATGTTTTCCCACTTTCTCCTTATCTAGAAACTATAAGTATTTTTTGCCTCATATAAGTTTTTTTATTTGACCAGGTTTGGTCAGGCATAGTCCTGAAGTCTTTATATGCTTTTGATGGAACAGAAAGCTGTGGTCCTGCTCTTCACTTTCAGAACAGAGTGTAAGGTAGGCATTAAACACTAGTTAGATGAACTTGATGCTTGAGCCACCTAGGGAAATCTGGAGATGCATACTGCAGTTATCAGAAGCTTAGAAACTAATGGGTCTGAAAGCAAATATTTCTGAATTTAAATTACAGTGAACAAATAAAGGTTTGTACACTCTGAAATTTAATCTCTACAAAGCCAAGAATTTTCTCTTAATAAAGATGATAATATTTAAATATGACATTAGACACTCTGAAATTACCAAGTGTGTGACGGCATTTACCATTTACAGCCTGTGAAAGCTGGGTCTGGTCATTTAGAAAGTCGAGTAGTGAGGAATCCTGCTCGTTCTCGGACCTCTCATCCTCATCTGATGAGACGCAGGCTGCATCCTCTTCAGAAACTTCTGCTTCATCATCTAAAAACTTCCAAGCTATTGTCTACGAAGAAACAAGATACACCCCACGAAAATGATGATGATTTTATTGTACAATTTTTGTTCTGGAAAGTATAATCTTAGGTTTTTATTTCAAAACTGAACTGGCATGTGATTGTACATGTTAAGGGGTACACTGTGACGCTTCAATGCATGTGGACCATGCATAATGTTGAAATCATGACACGTCCAGCACCTTATCCATTTTCCTTTTTCCTTCCCCCTTCGCCCCGAGACAGGATTTCTCTATGTGGCCTTGGTTGTCCTGCACTCGGCTTTGTAGACCAGGCTGGCCTTGAACTCACAGCGATCCACCTGCCTCTGCCTCCCTGAATGCTGGCATTAGAGTTGTGTGCCACTGCACCCCACTTCCTTATACATTCTCAATTGTGTTGAACAACACAATTAACTGTGAGCCAGGGCCACCCCACTATTGTACAGATGCTATTGGTCATGAGAAGGGGTTTTTTTGTCAATGATTTCAAGCACATACGCACACACACACACACACACACACACACACACACACAAAAGTAAGATTAACAACTACAACAGAAAAAGATACCTATATCAAATTTCTTCCGATAATTTTAGGTAAAGCAGCCTTCAAGACACTAGTTGGCTTGCTGGATGTTTCCAACAGTCTACAGAGACTCCAAAGGCTAAGCTCTGGCATGGAAACACTGCATGTCAGGAACACTGACCAGAAAGGTTTGCTAAGGACTATTTTCCAAATAGTTAAAATAATGAACAAAGATGGGGCGGGGGGAATGGAGCAGTGAGACAGACCACTGGGTAAACCTGAGTAGGACTGACAACTAGCGTTCCATTCCTGAGACCCACATGGTGGAGGGAGAGAAGTGTGTCCTCTGACCTCCACTCTCTCACAGCAGCATGCAGGCAACAAACGCTGCCACACACGCAAAGTAAGTGAAGCAATAAATTATGATTTTCTTATATTTTCATGTCTGTGAGTATTTTGCCTGCATGTATGTCTGTGTACCACATGCATGCCTGATGTCTATGGAGGCCAGAGGAGGCATCAGACCCTCTTGAACTTAAGTTACAGATGGTTGCTGGCCACCATGTCAGTGCTGGGAATTGAACCTGGGTCCTTTGTTAAGAGCAGCTCTTAACAACTGAACGTTGTTTTGTTTGTTTGAAGAAATTGCTATTTTTTTTTCTGAAGAAAAAATAAATTTCCTAAAAGTCAGGTCTGGCTCAATTTCAATTTCTTCACTTAATCATTCAAAATACCATAGCACTAACAAAATAAAGACAGAACACAAAGAAAAACAACAACAATAACAAAAATAGTACACTTTGAGACTTTTAATCCTGAAAAAGAAATTTACAATCGATGGGAAAATACTTCTCAAAAAAACTGTGGTTTTGGGGGGCTAGAGAGATGGCTCAGCCCTCAGATCACTGTCTGCTTCTCTAGAGGATACAAGTTCACTTCACTTCCCAGAGCCCACATGGTGGCTCACAACCATCTGTAACTCCGGGTCCAGGGGAGCCAACACCCTCTCCTAGCCTACGTAAACTCCAAGCACACATAAGGTGCCTATATACAGGGAAAACACCCATACGCTAATTTTTTTCATTCATTCATTCATCCAATCTATCTATCCATCCATCTATTTATAACATGTATATATAGCACGTAACAAATATCATGTACACTAAAAAGAACACGGAAAGATTACCTTTACATGATTTCGTTTCTTTTGGACTTTGGAGCCTTTTCTGTTACTGTTAGGATCCTTGACATCTTTCAATCGTGGACATGGTCTGTGAAAATCTTCACTCTCATCACTAGATGAGAATTCTGGCTATAAAAAGTTAACACAATACTTACATAAAAAAAAAAAAAACTAGTTGGGGCGATGTAATTTACTGTATTTCTCAAGAGCAGATGGTTTTACTTTTATTTTCTAACTATCAACATTCTCAACTGCTCTCACTAGATAGACCACAAGTGTCAGACAGGGAGCAGCAGTCTTATTTGCTCAACTTAGTGTTACACCAGATGTATTACGCTGTTCTCTTCAGATTTCAAGGGTTTCACAAAGGACCAACTTGATCCAAACGTACAGAAATCCTTTGAAATCAACAAATTAAAATGGCAGTAACAGACTTTAACTAAACACTTCTGCAACCGCTTCTCTTTACACAATAATACGAAGCCAGAAAAAGAAGGGAAAGTTTATTAAATAACTTCGGTTAGTAGGAATGATTTTCACTGAACACAGATAGCATGGCTATCAGCTTTGTCAGAATTTTAACTCACTTTTTAGAAGCCACTAGTCATTTTAGGTACGACAGAAAGTCAGAGCAAATTTTTATAGTGACTTTATATACAAGGTTAATATGGTAGGCTGTATTCTTAAATAACTTTGTCCAAATGCTTCTAGATTAGACACAAGCTCTGTAAGGTTCACCTGTGGATATTTGTTGCTACAGTAAAACACAAATGAAAGATAAAGAAACTGTTTTAACCATGAAGCTCCTGGCTTGGAGGAGGCAGGACAGATTCTCCAGTTCAAACCCTCACAGCCCAGAGTGTGACTTCCCTCTTTGGGCCACTGCGTTGAGCTGGTCATTCTGTTGACAGCACGTTCCTCTCCCCCCTTCTTTGCCAGCTGTGACATACATTCTGTACACTCTCAAAAAACTTTCCACAACAACCCATGTTTAGGCTAAGGGCTGCTTTTTTTCTTATCTCAACTTCAAAACCTGCACCCAAGTGAGCTGCCTTCCTCTTCATTATTTATACTTGTTATTGTCAGGAAAGTTTACAATGAATACATAGCTCCAGTAGAAGGGGAGATTATAATCACGTGAGATACAGCGTCTACTGTTCTGTTAAGCATATACTTGTAAGATCAAATACGCTATTATTTGTTCCTGTGCCTGTGTTTTTCTTACTTTATTTATCCTAAAGGACCCAAGTTTGATTCTCAGCACCCAAGTTGGGTGGCTCACAATCACTATCACCTCAGCTCCAGACAGCATCTGATGCCCTTTTATTGCCTCACAGACACAGACAAAAACACAGACCACCCCCCCACACCTAGAAATAAAAATAAGTGTAATTTTACTTACCCTAAGAACCCTTGACTTTTTAACAGCATGAATAGGTGAATCAACTTCGCTGTTTTTCTGATCCTAGATAAAACAAACAACTAAGCAGTGTAATTAAAATCTGACAGGAAGTCTGAAAGAGGACAGCATGGCCTTGACTTGATTTTATCAGTGTGGTGAATGAATGACTTACCTCAGGGGACTTCAGGACATTTCCTTTTGGTTTTTTTGTTTTTCTCAGGAAAACATCATCTTCACTCTCACTAGTTACATGTTCAACTATAAGTAATTGGAAAGTGAATCTGGTCAGTAGAGTAAAGTTACTCAACTAGAAATCATTTCATTGATATACTAAAAATTTCCTAAATTTCTTTTTGTAAAAGGTCTTCAGACCAGGCATGGTGGTGTACACCTTTAATTCTAGCACGTGAGAGGTGGGGAAGGCAGATCTCAGTGAGTTTAAGACCAGTCTGGTCTACATAGTGAGTTTAAGTTCAACCAGGGCTACATAGTGAGTACCTGTCTCAACAAAATAAAAAATAAACAAAAAGATCATCGGAAGTTTGACAAGCATTGCTAAAGGAACTTTTATTCCCAATTTAATTGTTGTCTCAGAGGCCTTACTGCCTCTGTCTGCTAACCTAGGCCTAGTCCTGGAAGCTTCTAGCCTGCGTACAATCTAATCTAGGCCTAGAATGTTTTCAGCCTTTGAGATTTACTGCTGAATAAACTCACCCTTTCCAGTTCTTTCTGAACTTTGGCTGGCTGGCTCAAACTCTTCTCCAAGGTGACTAACTGAATCTGGCTTCTCTCAGTTTCTCACTGAATTGCTCTGCTTGGTTTCAAACTAAATCTAGCAATCTGTTCTAATCTTCTGGCCGCTTTTCATTCTCTGGCTCATTCTGCCTTCACCTGTGTTCTCTCTTAAACCTCTCTCTGTAAAATTCTCTGGTATTAACTGCCTCTAAATTCCATGAACTGAACTGCTACAAACTAAACTCCACTGTGCTGCCTCTGAACAAGCTGACTGGAACGCAGAGACCTGCATACCTGTCTCCTGAGTGCTGGGAGTGTGCACCAGCAAGCCTAGACCTAGGCTTTTCTCTACCTGAAACTTGCTCTATACCAAGCTGGCCTTGAACTTAGAGAGCTGCTAGCTTCTTTCTCCTGGGATTAAAGGCATGTCTATATTCCAGCCAGGTCACACAGACCTAGAAGGATGTGATCTCTTGCCAGAACAGCCATGTTCTAAATTAAAATTCTTCTACACAACATAGTCAGCATACAGATTATAAAACATTTGGGCTGGAAAGATGGCTCAGTGGAGAAGGGAGCTTAGTGACCTGAAGGCCTGAGTCCAGTTCCCACTATCCCAAGCAGCTCCCAAGGCCCTGGAACTCTGGGCCTCCAAGGACACCCAAACAGATGGCATATGTTCAGAGTCATGCACATATAAACATGTATTTAAAAAATATAAATCTTAAAAATAAAAGAACAGAGGAGAATAAAAGACATTAATTAGCTAATAAATACATGTTTAAGAGGCTGGAGAGATGGCTCAGCAGTTAGAACACTGGCTGCTTTCACAAAGCATAGGGTTCAGCTACCAGCACCCATTACGTCACTTACAACTGTCTGTGATGCTGCTTCTGAGGAATATAACACCCTCTTCTGACCACCCCTGGAGACACTACATGCATACAGTCCACTTTCATCCGCACAGGCAAAACATTACTTGTATACATGAAATAAAAATAAATCTTAACAAATAAATAAATAAATCTTGTGCATGCCTGTGAGCCCAGCACTCAGGGAAGCAAAGGCAGGCAGATGTCTGTGAGTTTGAGGACAGCGGGTCTATAAAGCGAGTCCATGACAGCCAAGGCTACACAGAGAAAGCCTGTCTCAAAAAAAGAAAGAAACCAAAACAACAACAAAAAGAAAAAAACTTTAAAAATACATTTTAAAATGAGGCCCAAACTTGAAAAATAAACTATAAAAAGAAAAGGCAAATGTAATTTTATCAGTCCATGTGCATTTGTTTAAATTAAACATTACAGTGCATGGGGCATTTACGTGGTACAGCACACACACGGAGATCTGAGGACAGCTTGCGGGACTCTGTTCTCTCCTTTCTCCAGGAGGGTGCTTGGGAGAATCTCAGGTCATGACACTTGTCTGGAAGAGCCTTTACTCACTGAGCCATCTCATGGGCCCTGATTAGCCAATGAATTCCAGACTGGAGGTGAAGCAATTAAATCATGAAAATATATGTTACAAATACACTAAAAGTTCTTTTTTTTTCTTTGTTTTTTTGTTTGTTTGTTTGTTTTGAGACAGGGTTTTTTTTCTAAAGCCTTGGCTGTCCTGGACTAACTTTGTAGACCAGGCTGGCCTTGAACTCACAGAAATCCTCCAGCCTCTGCCTCCCAGAGTGCTGTGATTACAGGTGCATACTGTTATGCCCAAGTCTCATGGACTCCAAAGACCCACCAGGAGCCGATTCTGAGGCAAAGGCAGTAGGGTCTTTTAGTTACAAGATCGAGTTCAGGCCCACACCCTTACCACCACCATTGAGTCTAGAGCCCAGCTTGGCAGTTTTATGATTGATTACATTTTGCAAATATCTGGTGTCTGGGGGAAATTGTTTGCCCAGAGGGCCAAGCTAAACCAATTGTTTTACTTATCCTATTGTAAAGAACACCTGGGAAAATTCCAGGTATTCACTGATTGGGCGTTGCTAGGGGTGATGGTTAAATATTACTGGGTTTTCTCCAGGCTACTCCTAGGGGAGAGGGCTCCACTGTCTTCTTTCTGGCATTGGTGACCTATGGCCTAGGTCATGGGACTGGTGGCTTTTGGGGTTGGGGTCGGGGTCAAGCCTGGTTCTTCATGCATCACTGCGCCCGGCTGTTCTATTTTTGTGTATACATATGAGCACATATACGTATGCTTGTGCAGAACCAAACAGGCATTGGTGAGCATGGTGGTTTGAACAGGAACGGCTCCCATAGGCCTATAAGTGTGAATGCCTGGGCAGCAGGGAGTGGTGCTATTTCGAGGGGTGGCCTTGGTGGAGGAAGTGTGCTGCTGGGGATGCCTACTGTCTTGTTCCTCCTTCTGCCTGCTGATCTAGATCTAGAACTCTCAGCTACCACCCCAACACTACGCCTGCCTGCACGCCGCCATGCTTCCTGCCGTGACAATGACAACAGTGGGCAACTGTAAGCCAGCCCCAATTAAATGTTTTCCTTTGTAAGAGTTGCAGGTGAGCCTGGCAAGGTGGCTCACACCTGTAATCCCAGCACTCAGGGAGGGAGAGGCAGGTGGATCACTGTGAGTTTGAGACCAGCCTGGTCTACAAAGCAAGTCCAGGACAGCAAAGGGCTGTTGCACAGAGAAATCCTGTCTCAATGGCCACACCCCCCACCCCCCAAAAAAAGGTGTGGTGGTTATGATGTTTCTTTAGAGAACAAAACCTTAACTAACACAATGAGAAACTCACCAAAATGTAACTAAGCTACATGTCTGTGGCAAGAGGTACTGAAGATGAGCCCTGGCGTTATCTGGGGATCAGTGTAAAGCACATCTGTGTTCCATACGGTGAGGACCTGGCTTCAGTCCTCAGCACTGCACCGCACAGCAGAACAGAAGAGAACAGCACAGCACAGAACAACAGAACAGAACAGCACAGCACAGCACAGAAGAACAGCCTCTATCTAGAAACTTAAATACTTCACATTTTCAGTACTTCTATTTCCGCACTTTCATACAGCTTTGAATGAAGATACATTTTTGTGCACTAATAAAAATTTGCATAAAAGTCATGTGATATCTTTTGAGATACGTTCGGAAATTCTTTTCCCTGGCTGATGACAATTTATTTCCCCTAGAGTGTAGGCCAGACTTAGTTCCTAACAACGATCTGGTGAGGCTGGAGGGTGGTGGAATGGGGTGGAGCTCAGTCGGTGGAGTGCTTGTTCAGCATGCACAAAGCCTTCCTGGATTTCCAGCCCCAGAACTAAATATTCTGGGAATGGTACTAAATAAATCTGCTGTAGCTGCCCAAGACTGTAACCCCAGCATTGGAGGGATACAGGTAAGAGTGAAACTTCAAATTCATCCTCAGCTAGACGAGACCTGGTCTCACTGAAGAACTAAATTATATTTAGTTAAATATAAGATAAGGGCGCACGTGAGTGTGTAATAAGTATTCGAATCAGAAGACTTGAGTGTTGTCCACAGAATCTATGATAAAAGGAGAGAGCCCCTAAAAGTTGTCCTTTGACACCCACACACTCAAAGCGCCATGTGTGTACCCCATTCTCCATACACCACACATCACACACACTGCTGTGTGTGCTTCCCACCAAGATGTTCATGGACTCACTCTCTAAACTCTAAATGCCAATAAACTCTTTCTTCTATATGTTGTCATGGTTACGAGCTCTCTTCACAGCAATCAAAATGTAACTAAGACAGGGCTGGAGAGATGGCTCAGTGGTTACTAGCACTGGTTGCTCTTCCAGAAGACCCAGGTTCAATACTCAGCACCCATATGGTGACTCACAACTGACTGTAACTCTTGTTCCAGGGGATCCCACACCCTCATTCAGACATACATGCAAAATACCAGTGTACATAAAACAACAACAAAACAAGTACCAAGAGGTTGGAACCAGGAGTAGGGCACCACTGTGACAGGTTTGACCAGGATGGTTTTTGGAGAGAAGCAGAAGACTTTGGACTAAGAAAGGGTTCTAGGTTCTAGTAGGAGCCTGGAAGACAACAGCACTGAGAGCAAGGTGGACAATGAAGGCACAGATCAAGAGGTTACAGAGAGTAACAATATCAGCAAATGGAACAGAGACTGCTGCTGGGGGCACAAAGGTCCTTGTGCCCCCAGATCACTAGGGAAACCAGCAATGTTAAACAGATAGGGGCCTCTTCTCAGTGGAGGAGATAAAATACCAGCTTTCCAGCCCAGAAGGCTGGAAGAGGACTTTGTTAATGAACTGGTGACCTGTTTGCTATCTGTGGAGGCAGACCCCACCAAAATCCCCAGAGTGATTATCCCAGACTCTTCCCGCAGTAGATCATTACCTGTCCTGAATGGATACATCACATGACTTTATGGACCCCAGGCCTCAATACTATCAGTCAGAGACCACACTAGATTCTAGCCCTTTTAGCTAGAGAACCCACCCTCATGGTCACATGTACTTTGTAAAGAAGTTTCTCTGTAGTTACACCTTAGGTTCTATCATACACCTGGAGTTGGACTGATTCTTGCCTGGAAACCTTTTCCCAGATTGTGCTGTGTTTTAAATATGCTGACAATGAGCCACCTGGCATCAGGCTTCCTCAAGTCTGATCCAGGTTGATGGAGACGATCTGTACCAGGCTTTAATTCTTTTCTCTTTGCACAGTTCAATTCTCTACCTGACACCTGCAGGGATTCCCTCAAGAGAATATTCCTGTGATATTCTGGCAATGAAAGGAGGTGGCCTGAGAATCTGCCTGAGGCTAAACTGAAGTGTTTTTGGACTCCTTTTGTCAGCAGAGGAAATTTCAAGACAGCCTAATCTGATTCTGTTGCACAATAACTATTGATCACTCTTATGCAAGTGGAAAAGAGCGTCAGGAAATTTAATGTGGTAGCCAAGGTGTGTGCTGAAAGAGAAGGAGTATTAGAATAAAGGGAGCAGTGCTCTTAGGGAGAGAGCTCACCCAAACAATCCTGTGATCTGTGCAAAAAAAAAAAAAAAAAAAAAAAAGGCCTAAGAAATCACTTGTTCCCAAAGAACAGCAACAAGCTTTAGCTTGTGCAAATGTGATTCAAGGAAGAGGCCCAGTTGCAACCAAAGCAGGCAGTGGAATGTGGCAGTCAAAGCCTTGTGTCCAGTCTGGTTATGAACTCATAGGTTCAAGCACACTATTGCCTCAGCTACCTGAGTAGATGGCATCACAGCCCTAACACAACTATTCTGAGATACTAAGCAACTCCGTGAAGAGGTTTACAAATAAGAAACAGAAGTTATACACTCACTGAACATATCCCTAGCCCTGAATCTCCAAGATCGTATCAAGAGGAATGCAGCTCAGAAACCTCACAGGATCTGCATAGAATGAGATGGAACCAGGAAACATGGGGAACAGTCACAGGTGCCGAGTCCTAATGCAGGACCGCCCAGTGGTAGGGTATGCATGGGCGAAGGACTCTTGTTCTTCATGGCCAAGACCTCCAAAAGCAGCTGTTGGAAGGAGCTTCTCCACACTCTGATGAGCTTCTAGATGAGCTCATCTCTAAGTGAGATTCTAAAGTACTCAGCTAAGATGCTGCTGATTTGCTGACCTTCTAAAATTAAGTGAGACACTGAACATTATATATTCCAATGTTTTTTTTTTCCTTCATCATCTTACAGTGAAGCCAGTTTTAAATAAATCATTTAGCTACAGCAATCATTATTTCAGGAAGCTTACTTTTTAACTGCCTCTGGAGTTTTAAGGAACTCTTCTCCCCCACCAAACAAATGTACGGTAAACAACATTAAATCCTCTTTTACTTAGCTCAAGCAAAAAGTACTAGCTACACATTCCCTTATTAGTAATTAATAATTATTAATAATTATTTTATTGATATGCTATTCATTATATTGTATATAAGCAATGGTTATGTACAAAACAAGGAGAATTTTTAATATAAAACTTTTGATACAAAACTAGAAAAATGACTGCATCTTGTAATAAAGATGTTATTACATAGGAATTGAAGGCTCAGAGGGAGCCTTCATATAACTCAGCGGTTCTCAACTTTCCTAATGCTGCAAACCTTTAATAGTTCCCCATGTTGTAGTGACCCCCAATCCTAAAATTATTTTTGCTATTTCATAGCTGTAACTTTGCTACAGTTATGAACTGTAAGGTAAATATCTGTGTTTTCTGATGGTCTTATGCGACCCCTGTGAAAGGGTCATTCAACACCCAAAGGACAGTTTTTGTACTTATGGGGATGAAAATCATAAACAACCCGATGAAACAGACTGTCAGTAAATCAGGAGTTGAAATTCCTATCGGACTTAACAGACACTAAAATCACAGGCTCTCAGCAGCCATCCGGCCTAGGCTGGTAAACTCAGAGCTCTTCCACCTCAGTCCCCTCAACGCCGGGTTGTTGAGCGCAAGCCACCACACCCGGCTTAAGTCATGTCGTTTTGTTCTGTTTTGATTTTTTGTTTGGTTGTTTTTCGGTTTTTTTGAAACAAGGTTTCTGTATTGGCCCTGGCTGTCCTGGACTCACTTTGTACATCAGACTGCCCTTGCACTCACAGAAATTCCCAAATGCTGAGATTAGAGCGTGTGGCACCATTGCCCAGCTTTGTTGCTTTGTTTTTTTTTTTTTTTTAATTTTGAGAGAGGGTCTCACTGTATAACCATGGCTGACCAATAAGCTATTATGTAGACTGGGTCATCCTCAAACTCAAGATCCATCTGCCTTGCCTCCAGAGAGCTACAAGGAAAGGTGTGTACCACCACACCTGGCACAAGATTAAGTTATTTAATCCCTAGTGTTTACCTTCATATTTCTAGTGCTTCTATAACTGTAACATAAGACCATACAATCCAGAAATTTCTCTTGGTCTTGAGGTATGATATTAGTCTTCTAACTATTATGTTATATAAATGCTTCAAAGTCTCCCCCAAAAAGCTTATGGCTTTCTTCCTTTCCTTTATTATTTTTAACACCCCAATTCTTTATTATTTTCAACATCTAAATTATATATATTCCTGAGGAACCAAAATGAAAGCCAATACTTTCTAATGTAGTCTCACTCAACAACTTTTCACTGCCTTTTAAACTTTTTAAACAGCCATTATCTTATTACTCATTTGGTAGTTATTGCTACATTTTACTGGCATCTTTGAAATGTCTTACACGTAACTGTTTGTGCTTCACAAACAAGTAATTGGGCCAAATTTTACACTTCTTTGTATATTGGACAGGTAATAGCATAAAACATTCCTGTGGCATACACATTCAAATCTCCCAACAGTGAACATCAAGTTAAGGAAGAATACATTTATAATTATCTAATTTGATATGTATAACATGAAAAGTTAGGTTTGGAATAGTACAGGTTTATTTCTGGAACATGTTTTCCAGAAAGCCATACCTTTCACAGAGATGGGCTCTTACCTGGAGTGCGTTGAGGGGACTGGCGCAGAAAGATCTGATCACTGCTTTTGGTCTCATCTAAATCGTCAAATCTTGGATTCAATGTCACTTTGAACCCCTGTACGTGTGCTTTTTCCTCGGTGGAATCTGGTGTCTTCAGCACGTCTGCCCGTGTCTTAGAATGTGGGTTCAGCATGTTTGATTTGGAAAGTGGCGTACTCATAACTCTGTCCTTCAAGGGCAAGCACGGGGCAAGACGGTAAGACGTAGGCTCCTCATTCTCTGCAGAATGGGAAGACTGCGCTTCTCCAGTTGGGCTTGGTGATCTGGCTGCACCGGGGGAGTCTGAAACATCAGGGGAATCCTTTACCTGGGGGCCAGAGTGCCTTCCAGGCAGACCAGCTGCTCCCCGTGTGCTACTCCTCTCATCCTCAGAATCTGAACTACAAAACCCCAAGTCGAAGGTAACAGAAAATAAATCCCCAGAGCAGTCGAAAGTGTGTCCCTCGTTCTTTAGCTCTTCACGCTTATCTCTCAAGCCTTTGTGAGACTGCCAGCTCTTGGCATCACAGGTGATTTGATGTTCAGGTTCAGAATCACCATCTGACAAAAGTTCATCAGAAATGATGAAGTGAGACACTGGAGGCAGTTCAGTTGTGAGAGTCTTCTCTGACACACACAGGGGCTGACTATTACTGTGCGAGAGAGGAGGGTCCCCACCATTTAACTCCTCAATACCATCTTCAAATAACAGTAAACTCTCATCCTCATCAGAGAATAGTACTGGAGGTTCACTGTCATCATGGCTATTTTTGCCAACTAAATTATTTTCATGGTTGACTTGTATTTGACCATAGCTTTCAGATGCTAAATTTTTATTTTTAATATAATTATGGGCCTTATTATCAGACTCAATGAAGGAGGGCTGATCAGAAATCTCTTCATCAGTTGTACCAAAGAGACAATATTTTTCAGAAGAACGACCAATATGTTTAGCTGAATTCAATTCTAAATTTTGTGGAGAATTCACAGATGAGTGTGACATCAGCAAAGCAGGTTTATGACTGTTTCCATGCTCTGAGTAAGGTGAGCAGGACGCATGGTCAAGTTCAAAACCCTGAGTAACTTCATATTCCAAGTCTGAGAGTTCGCTGAGAGATGGGGGAGAATGGGACAAAAATCTCTCCACATTAGCTAGTACCTCTCCTGTCATGGGACGACAATTATAAACCTCTTCAGCCGCTCCATCTATGTACAGGTCTTCTTCCAATGGAAGACATAAATTTGATAAAATAGATTTCTCATCGCTGAAACTACTATAACCAGACTCTAACGAGTAACTGGCAAGTGATTTATTCGTAACCTGACAGTGTGTTAGTAATGCTGCTGGAGGGCCATCATCTTCAGCACCCATGATGGTGATTCCATCTACGCCCGCCTCCAACATCCTTTCATCCTTGGGTGGGGCGAGCCCAGGAGCTGCTTCTGCAGGACAGTCTCTGTCAGTGTCTAAAGATTCTACACCATCATCGTTTTGTTTACTAGTCTGGTCTTTTCCCATTGCTCCAGAAGCTTCTTCTCTTGGAGAAGTAATTTCAGTGCACTCTGAATCCATCTGTTTAGCAATCTCAGACCCTTCATCAGACTCCAGTACCGAGGAGGAACTTCCTACATTGATACTCTGTCTAAATGAAGATTTCTTTCGAGTGATCCTTGTGCCACTGACTGGATTTTTATATCCATTCCTTGGAGTATATGTTGGGATGACATCCTCCATTTGTAGAAAAGGTTTAATTTTCAATTCATAGCTGCATTCATCCTACAAAACAAGAGACAGGAGAAAGTCACAGAAAAGCAAAATAAGCCAAGTCTAAGAGATGAATTTCACTCCATAATGTTTTTCTAAAAAACTGTATCATTTAAATGATTTTGTTTTAAATCCCCCAAATTTTAACAAATCAAGAGAAAAAAATCTAAATACTGTCACTATGAAATCATTGGTTAATATTTTACTCTTAGTCCTCAAGACAACCATGATGGCTATTCCTACAAAGAAAAACTTAACCTAACATTTTGTTTGTTTGTCTGTTTTGCTTTTTGAGACATGGTCTTGCCTCACAGCTCAAGCTGGCTTCAAACACATCCTCTTAATTCTGTCAATGGGGTGCTGGGGTTACCTAGCCAAAACACTTTGAGGCCCCAAAAAACAACAGAAGCTTTGGATAGAGTTTTACTTTTAAGAAAATTCTTAATCAAAACCCCATATAGGAAGCGTAGCAGCGCACTCCTATAATTCCACCACTAGGAAGGTAAAGGGAAGAGGTTTAGAAATTCCAGGTCATCCTTGGCTACATATGAAAGCCAAAGCAGCCTGGAGTACATGAGACACCCCCCCGCAAAAAAAAAAAAAAAAAATGAACAAAACAAAAAGAGCAGGAGGAGGAGGAAGAAGAAATGTGGAAATGTTAATTCTAGTTTTCTAGTTCCATCACCACACTAGCA